ATTGCAGGATGATGTGGGCTGCTGGGGCAGTAGCGGCCATGTCTAGTATCACCTTTCCAGCTGTCAGTGCACTCGTCTCACGAACTGCTGATGCTGATCAACAGGGTGAGTTGATAAGGGAGCCAGTGATAATTATTTAAAAGTACGGAATATTCTAATCCTGTGTTCTTTCCATTTCCTAAGTACTGAAATACAAGTATATCTTCAGGGTAGAGAATTTAAAAATTGCTTTCAGTGTACACAGGAAAAGCAGATTCTAGGGTATTATCCTTAGGTAGATATATATTCCCTTGTCTCTCACTTTAATAGGTGGCTCTATCTGTTCTTTTGCTAGAAAATGTAGTAATGAAGGTTGACCATCTTATATACACTAAACATTTATGTATTGTTTGCTATGTTATGCTAGGTACCTTGGTATAATTTTCATAGCCCTTTTATTAAAATCTTATGGGTACAGCCAGGCATGGTGGTGCATGCCTATATAGTGTCAGCTACTTGGAAGCTGAGGCAGGAGAACTGCTTGAGCCCAGGAGTTCAAGACCAGCCTGGGCAGCATAGCAAGACCCCTATCTCTAATTTTAAAAAAATCTTAATGGTTTTAGTTATCTAAAGATATAGAATATAGCAAAATATTTTTATTGTCTTATGCTTTCGTGGTGGGAACATTTAATTCTTATAATTGCTAACAGATAAGGAATAATTCTTTGAAAAGGATGTTTTATCTAGTCATAAGGGAAAAAAGCATGTTGCAAAAGACTGGCAGTGATAGATACATAAGGAAGGAAAGGCCTATGGCTAAAGCAAATGGCATTTTAAATTTCAGAGAAGATCCCAGAGAGAAATAAAAATCAAACAAACTATGAAAAGGTATATGTTTGACTAAAAAATGTCTGAAATAGCTACTTGGAGACAAGAGTTTTTAACATTTGTATTAATACTTATGAACTCATGACTGATTTTTAACCAAGGACATTTTGAAGGCTGTATCTAGGAAAATAAAGTGCTTCTGCCCACTTGTTTCTATGTTAGACCTTTATATTGGTACATCTGAGCTCCTGTTTGCATAAAGCAGCTTACTATATTTCGTGGAGCTGATGGCTCCTACGTTTTTAATATCATTGCTATAAATTGCTAGTGTCTGATAAATGCCTTCATTTTAGATCAAGTGATTTCATATTTGTACTTTTTCTAGGATATGAAAAAATAGGTCGTTTACTAAATAATTTATTTAAATAATTTAGGTGTTGTTCAAGGAATGATAACAGGAATTCGAGGATTATGCAATGGTCTGGGACCAGCCCTCTATGGATTCATTTTTTACATATTCCATGTGGAACTTAAAGAACTGCCAATAACAGGAACAGACCTGGGAACAAACACAAGCCCTCAGCACCACTTTGAACAGGTAATTATTCATTCACTTGATAAAACTGTATAGTTTGGATTAAAAGATAATGATTTTTGGTCACAAATGCTTTCATGTGAGATTCTTATTACTGATAGAATAAAACACTTAAAAACCAAAGTCTGAGGGACTGTATTCTCCTGTATACTTTTATGAAATTGGCTGTACAGAATGAAAAATTATTTAAGGTATCTAGTTTGTTAATTTATACCTACTGGCACGTGTAATAGCCAGTTGTCTATACTACTACCTGTCTTTTATCTGAGACCTTTCTAACATCACAGTTCCCTATATTAAGCTTATTCTGTATGAAAAGTCAGTTATGTTCTGGTAAATATATATCTTTTTTGTTTGTTTGGGTTTTTTTTGAGACAGTCTCACTCTGTCACCCAGGTGAGAGTGCCATGGCATCAGCCTAGCTCACAGCAACCTCAAATTCCTGGGTTCAAGCCATCTTCCTGCCTTAGCCTCCCAAGTAGCCGGGACTACAGGCGAGCACCACCACACCCGGCCAGTTTTGTTCAAAAGTAGAAATGGAGTCTCACTCTTGCTCAGGTTGTTTTCAAACTTCTGAGCTAAAGTGATCCTCCTGCCTCAGCCTCCCAGCTAGGATTACTGGTGTGAGCCACCACACCCAGCCCATCTTTGTTCACTCATTTACTAAACTTCCTTACAAATGAAAATATTAATGCCGAACAACATTGATCATATTAGTTAATACAGTTCATCGTTTTACTGGCTTATTTTACAAAGTTCTACATTAATCTTCCAACCAGCTAAGTCTGCTTTTAAATTAGAAAAGAATATTTGTTTGTGAGCTACCCCACAAGTGAAACTGGCAGAGCAAGTTTTTGCAAAAAATGAATGCATGTAATTTTGAGCTAAAACAAAGATCTGTTTCTTTTTGTAATAACCTGTGTTTTTCTCACTTTCAGTCAGTATAATTACCTTTTTGAAACAAAGAAAATGGTATTGATTCTGCTATGATAGCCAATATTATATGCTACTTGATTTCAAGATCTTCCTATAAATATTTTCCTCTTGGACTAACAAATTAAGTGAAGGTTCATGTCTGTGTACAGATTTTGTGCTGAAAAGTGACAATATGGTATTTTTGCATAGACTGTTTTGCAAGTTGTTATCCCCAGAATTTTATATTGAGAATATGATAATGTCTCTTTGGGCTTATAATTCATAGCAGTTACTACTAAGAGATAAGTAATTTCTTCTTATGAATAAAAGTGTGCAAAAATCCTAATTGTTTTATTCTTCCTCAGAATTCCATCATCCCTGGCCCCCCCTTCCTATTTGGAGCCTGTTCAGTACTTCTGGCTCTGCTTGTTGCCTTGTTTATTCCGGAACATACCAATTTAAGTTTAAGGTCCAGCAGCTGGAGAAAGCACTGTGGCAGTCACAGCCATCCTCATAGTACACAAGCGCCAGGAGAGGCCAAAGAACCTTTACTCCAGGACACAAATGTGTGACGACTGAAAATCAGGAAGATTTTTCTATCAGCACCCAGGTCTTGGTTTTCACCTCTAGTTCCGGATGTACATTCCATTTCCATCCACAATGTACTTTAAGATTGTCTTAAGAAATGTATCTGCATGAACTCCGTGGGAACTAAAGAAGGTGGGAACTAAAGAAAGAACCGGACAGTTTTCCAAAGATGTTACAATTTCTTTTGAAAAGAAACCTTTTGTTTATTAGCACCAATTTCTTGCCACTAAGCTGTTTGTTTTATTATACATCCTTTAATTAAAAACTATATATGTAACTTCTTAGATATTAGCATATGTCTCTGCTACCATTTCCTTAAGGTGTTGAGCTTTAACTCTATTTATGCTGACCCTCAGTGAGACAGAGTAGGTAGTATGGTTGTGGACTTGTTTAACATTTTAAAATCTTGAGTCAGATTTTAATATTATAAAATCTTGGGTCAAATAATTCAAAGCCTTAATGCAGATGCACTAAAATAAGAAATGGTAAATGAATTGTTTGCATTAAAAAAAAAACTCTTAAGAAAATTGTACTAAATCGAAATCATGTTTTAAGCTTCTTTGCGGTAATTTTATTTTAAACATTATTCACGACCATTTTTAAAGTGAGAAAATATCAGCCATTTAGAATTTAAATTGGGGTGTTCGGAGCCTATAAACCTAAATGCTGGCTCAAATTTGTTCCCCAGATACTTCTTATACCACTATTCTTTTAATGTTTGCATAATCATAAGAACCTCAACACTTGAATACATAATCTAAAAATTATATAGTAAAGCTGGTAGCCTTGAAAATGTCAATGTGATATCTATATGTAGATAAATATATATAGTGGCCTTTCAGGACTGTCACAGTAACACTTTATTTACAGAGCTAATGTTTGTCCTAAATTTTCAGGACCCTAGAGGAGAGCTTTATACAATTACTGATGTGAATTTCTCTAAAGTGTATATTTTTGTGTCCAGTTATATTATTTAAAAAAGTGTTACTTTGTAAAAATTGTACATAAAGTATTGTATAGTTTACACTGTTTTCATCTTGTGTGTGCTTATTGCTTAATGCTTTTTAAATTTGGAACACTCACTATGGTTAAATAAGGTCTTAAAAGAAATGTAAATATTCAGTTAATAAAATTAAATATTTTAATGATTTCTTTTTTTAAAAAAAAAACGTCTTGATCTGTGAATCCCAGTAGGGCCTGTTTGGGCTTTATATTATATTATTACCATAATCATTTATTTTAACAGTAACAAATCAAAACTTTATCCTTTCTCTCTTTGAATCCATTTCTTTTCCCTCACTAAAAGATACCCTTGTAGAAAAATGAGGAAAGAAATGAAAACTTGGTATGCATATTAACCAGAGTACTTGATTTTCTAAGTATAGATGTTGCGATCAATCTTATTTCTTTCATATACTTTTTACATGTCATATTCCAAAAGTAATTTTAATACTTTATTACAAAGCTCACAGTTTATAGAAATAACATTAAATGCAACATTTTGATTATTAACACATGTACAATTTTACACTGCAAAACCATTTCAAATAAAATTTTAAGAGGTAGAACAAATAAGCCTGTATATATACATTTAATTACAAAAACATCTGCAGCAAGTTGGTATATCCAGAATGATGTTATCCTATCTTTTGGAAATGCTCTCAATTTTCCGTGTGTGGCTATGGAAAAGGGATATCTATATTAAAAAAAGAGAGAGCTACCTGTATGTCATGTATTCCATCCCAAACCTGTCACAATATTTTATATATATTATATAGTATTTACAACAAAGCAGATTCCAATATTACCAAGAAGCTTTCTTTCCAGAATAGTAAGTGCTATCAAATGATGGTAACTAAATATTCTTACTAATGTATATCTAAGTGAGGGAGAGTCACTGCCCAATATTAGTTACTGAATTTTCAGATTAGATCCCTAGTTTAAGACAGCTTGCAATTACCAGCAAATTCAAAGTATAAGACTCTAGATAGTGGCATCATAAAAAAAAGTTAGCCAAGATTCTTTGTCTTACCGTGGAACCCAGTAACGTTGATATGTCATTAATATCTTGAAATGTCTCTTTCCTTATCTGTAATAAAGTACTTGAATATAATTTAAAACTATCACATGAGCGTTAGCACTGTGCAAACAAAAATTGATTTGGAAGACACAAAAGAATGCTACTTGGTATTGGATGGTTGTCAACAAGAAAACACTGGTGGGCCCTATGATTCTGGGTGAGTTTTTTAAATCACCTAATTTTTTCCAAGAAACAATTCTTACTGGAATCTTATAAGGAAGAGAAGAAACTTATAACTTCTAACAGTTATTTGTTTTGCCTACTTTATTAATATTAAAATCAACCAAAGTTTTGATATTATAAAAACAAATACAGTGAATATTCATGATGCTCTTATAGTAAAGATTTTATATGATGCCAATTTTTAAAACAAAATTCCACCAATACAGACTTAACTGCATAACTAATAAAAATCCAAATTGAGAAAAATTGGATGAGTAAAAACTTTCAGGAAGCACTAAAATCCTTTCACTTCAAATGACTTAAAGCACTGTATACCTGATCTAGTCATGTAAATACACTCTCCAAATTAGTTTTACAAATATATCACATTCATTTAGTAGATTCATTCAATAAGTATTTCAAGGAAAATACATTTACTTGCTATTAAGGCTTAATTCATTTCAGTCTTTTAAGGTTAATTTAGGATTTTTCCCTTTAATGTAAACATCATCAATAATAGATATTTTAGGAGATAATTTTCCCTCATAATTTTCAGGTGGTAAATTTAAAACTTACCGATGAAAATGATAAAAATGAATTATTATCATTCTTTGGTTTCATACTATTACATTCTAAGCAAGTTTTAATTTACTCAGATTTTCAAAATGATTAGAATCTCCCTTATAAGGATCAACTCTTTCCTTAGAACTGAATTTCTAAGGATTAATTTAATAAAATTCATACTATTACCCTATAAAGCACCATGTCCACAAACCAAAAGTCATTTACTCAGAATCTTTACCAATCCCTGAGTACAAATTTGTCCCTATCAACTGCCATAAATGACAGCAGCACTTAATAAAGAATCCAAACAATCTACAATAGCTGAAATAAATTTGAAACTTGCTTGTTTAGGATTTATGTTAACATTTTTAAACCACCTGAGTTTCTAAAAATGTCAATAAAAAGTAAAACATGACATTGGAATTAACTGTTTGGTAACTGCCCAGGGAAATATGCTGAAGATGTAGAAGGGAGCACTGTGGGTTTGGAAGATGTCTGTAGTGCTCCCAGAGTGCCATCTTTCTGATGGTCTGCAAATGAAGACAAAACAAGATTATTGGTACTCACTCAGTCTTTGTATGTACATTCAAGAAAACCACAGTGTACAGAATCCAATTCAAAAATGCCTTCTCACCTGAATTACTAAATAGATTCTGGCTGAGTCCACGTAAAGGAATGCTATCTTCCCTTTTCTTCAGGTATTTGGATTCCAGCCCTAAATTTTCACCACTTAAAAAGAAAATAGTAATAACAAAGTCTTATTTTGTCTTCATTAGTTAATTTTGAATCTTTGTCTCATATACACATATAAACTATATATAAGATAACTAAGTTGTATTTATAGCTTAACTTTTATTCAGATCATATTTACTGGTTTCCTAAGCAAATAATAATTTGTCTACATATAAATCAAAGTATCCTTTTCAGTAAAGAGTAAATTGCAATGAATTAAAAATTCTAAGACCTTCACCAGCAAATTGGTATTAACAGATCAACACTTAAGTGGACATGTAGTAATAACATTTATTGGGTGTTGGGCAGGTGGGCATGGGCAATATACATAACCTTAACATTTGTACCCCCATAATATGCCGAAATAAAAATTCTTAAGACCTGAGATAAAGACTGTGGAAGAAATGAAAATCTATAAGTACTATAAAAATTTTAAACAGTAGCACAAAGTGTTACATGATAGATATAAAAAAAAATACAAACATGCCTTGAGAATATCACTATTACTTTAGTAATTTCTAGCTCACCCTGTATTTAAAATGAATAAGATTTATTTTTTGCCCAGGCGCAGTGGTTCACGCCTGTAATCCTAGCACTCTGGGAGGCCGAGGCGGGCAGATTGCTCAAGGTCAAGAGTTTGAAACCAGCCTGAGCAAGAGTGAGACCCCCATCTCTACTGTAAAAAGAAAGAAATTAATTGGCCAATATATAGAGAAAAAATTAGCCAGTCATGGTGGCACATGCCTGTAGTCCCAGCTACTTGGGAGGCTGAGGCAGTAGGATTGCTTGAGCCCAGGAGTTTGAGGTTGCTATGAGCTAGGCTGACACCACGGCACTTACTCTAGCCTGGACAAAGTGAGACTGTCTCAAAAAAAAAAAAAAAAAAAAAGATTTATTTTTCCTTTGACCAAAGGCTCTTCAAAATTTTGTAAGCGCTTCAAAGTAATCATTGTCAAATATTAATACATGGTAACAATGAACTCTGGTCAGATGAATACAAATGTGACATTTTGGAAAATAAAAGTATTTCTGTATTTTTCCCCATTCCACACTGCATTCCTGCTTTCTAATTCTGTTCAGTGTTAACAGTTTCCCTAGTAGTACACTTGTAATAAGTTAAAGGCTCTTGCAAAACAATGACAATATATCCTTAAAATTAAATGCTGGTTGATCTTTTCCCAATTTTCAGAAAATAAGTGGGTGAATAGGCATTTTTTCAATTTCAACTTTTTTTCTTAACCTTGATAACCACTGCCACTTTTTGCTAGCTGAAAACAAATAAACCAGAAAAAACTCAAAATCACTCAATAGTCCTAATTTTAAGGACAAATGATTGATTTTGTACTACGAATATGATTGTCATATTTTCTGCTAATAAAATTACTCTTAGTGTGTATGATGAATTAAATATATAAACATGTTTCTCTACCATTAATAGGAATATCAGGTGCTCTGCCTCATGAACAAGTATGATATTAAATGTAACATATATATACATTTCAGGACCTCCAGGAATTCTGATCTTTTTCAAAAAAAGGGAGGCTTACAAACATTAACTATTTTTAATACTCATCCTAGTGGCAATTTCAGAAGATCTAATGAATAAAGGCAGGAGAGCTAGGATAAGAACCCTTTTTGAACTATGTTAGTAATTTAGTTTGCAATGTATTGAGATGGTGACAGCTCATGATAATGAGTGTCAGCAGACAGGCACTAAAGCTGTTAACTTTTAAGTAAATAACCATAATGATTTTTTAAAAATTACAAACATGAAGCCTACCCAGAGAGAAAAGTCTGCATGTATATATGTTGTTTAATTTAACCACAAGTTACTTAGTCAACAAACTTTGCTATCTAAACCCTATTTAAGACCTAAAAGCTAGGGAAAGAATGAGCAGGCAAAACAAGTCACAAATTGGCATTAAAGCTTATTTATGTTACCTAGGGGACAATGTCACAAACCATTTTACTCTTATTTACCATAAATTTCTAGCAGATTAACTTGCTGGTCTCTTACACTATGTTACTCTGGAAATAATAAATCAGAAAAATGGAGAGCTTCCAGGGGCAGACACAGCCATACAGGAAAACAAAAACAAAAATAGCTGACCATGAGAAAAAAGATTTCTATGTTAGGCCGGGCGCTGTGGCTCACGCCTGTAATCCTAGCTCTTGGGAGGCCGAGGCGGGTGGATTGCTCAAGGTCAGGAGTTCAAAACCAGCCTGAGCAAGAGCGAGACCCCGTCTCTACTATAAATAGAAAGAAATTAATTGGCCAACTGATATATATATATAAAATTAGCCGGGCATAGTGGCGCATGCCTGTAGTCCCAGCTACTCGGGAGGCTGAGGCAGAAGGATCACTCTAGCCCAGGAGTTTGAGGTTGCTGTGAGCTAGGCTGACGCCACGGCACTCACTCTAGCCTGGACAACAAAGCGAGACTCTGTCTCAAAAAAAAAAAAAAGATTTCTATGTTTATGCCCAAAAATACTTAAAAGGGCAATATTGAGTTATGTAGGAAAATCTCTTAAGATAAATAAAATTTTACTGTGTGTCTCAAGAGTATCCCAAAATTTTAAAAAATGGATGAGAAATCTATTTTTTATAGGTAAAAGTGACTCAACTTAAAATTCCACTGACCAATAACTTAAAATGTATCAGATATATAGGTGGGCACCACAGCTTTCAAACACCGATAAAAATTCTTTAAGATAGCCTTCAAAAGTATAAACATTAAATTTTATGTCAATAAATACTTACTTTTCCTTATCAGCTGAGCAAGGCATAGTTGCTCCTGACTGAACATCTCCTAGCGATGTATTTGGTTTTGTAAATTGCAAGTTAAACTGAACCTGTGAAGAGGAAAAACATCTCGTAACTGAATTAATGACAACTGAGTTCTATATTGAGATAGGTGGTGAAATTGTTTTTCTGATAAATCTTTTATAAAAATACAGGTTTCGTCTATATTTTATAACACAAGCACATTCTATTGAGAAGATTTAATATAAAGAATCCTATTTTTCCTTACCAAAAAAGTACCTGTCATATAAGCAAGACGAATAACACAAAATGATTCTCTTAATTAGTTTGAAAGAAAAACGTGAACACTAAAAATCATTCAAATGAAGTGTTCCAGAATTAAAAGTAACCAAGCACAACAATAATGCATTTACCTCTTACATTCTGAAAATTATTCTCTTTTCATGACTTTCAAAGCCTATTATATTTATTTAAGGATTCTAAATGAAGGCTTGGAATTTGAATTTTAAAATAGTCAAAAGTAATCAAGAATCTATGTAAAAACCTAGAGTAAAATATTAGCATTTATTAATAAGATATAGTAGCTTAAAGTAATAATGTACTATGACTGAGTGGGTTTTGTAACAGGAAGGTATAAATGGGCTCTATATTATGAAGTCTATAAACATATATCATTAAACCAATAGATCAAAGAAATCATGACCACCTATATACAAAAAGAAAAGGCATAAGAAAACAATACACATCAATTTTTGGTGAAAACTCAAAGTAGGAACAGATACTAACTTAATATAACATTATAAATTAGGAAGATATATGCTGCTGTACTTGGCTGCCAAAGTTCAATAATGTAAAGATACCAGTTCTCCTATATTAACCTACACTTAATTACATTACACACAAATAGGCTTTTTAAAGCAAGACAAACTGATTCTAATATTTTTTATAGAAAAATAAACATGCAATAAGAGGGAAGAAAATTTTAAAAAGATACCAGATATTAATACATAATACTTTCCAGTCACCAACCATAAACAATTTTAAAAATAGACAAAATAAACGAAAACAATGTCCTCAGATATCAGACCACAGGTAGCGCAGGACTGTAATTTCTGAGTGAATTGTTATTCCTATAATCAATCCAGCTTTCTGTTGGAGCCACTTTCCTGCCAACAAGTGCAGAGGAAGAACACAAATGCTGAACTGAGGGGATCAAGATGAGAATTTAGGGAGGTTGGGTGGCTAGAGACTGCAGGGCTGCTATATGGTGAATAGTCTCCTAGAAATCTGTTGATCTCCTTGAGTCTTTGCTGAGTACTAAGTACATGCATACAGTAAAACTCCACAAAGATGAGTAAATAAAGACAGGAGCATTTTAAGCTGCATAATTTCCAAGGTTCATAAGCAGAGAGTCCTTGGCTAGAGTGGAGAGCCATGAAGGATCACACCTTTGTATTAGGGGTGAACCATGTCTTGAGTAGAAGGTACTTTAGATACACCCTCGTAACGCTAAAGAGAAAAGAAAAAAAAAAAAACTTTGAGAGAATTAGAATCTATATAAAATGAGGCAAATAATAATTAAATAAATAAATGGACAGTCTCAATGGGACAATATTATGTGATCAACCAAGTATAATTGGAGTACCAAGGAGTACCAAAGGAAGAGAAGATAATAGAAAAAAAATGTGAAGAAATAATGACCAGAATTTCCTAAAGTGATGAAAACTATAAACCCCACCAGTTGAAGAGCCTCACAAAAACCCAGTGCATATGGATGCACATGCACCAAGCACATAATTAGGATGTTGAAAATTAATCCTAAAAAGAAAATCTTAAAAACACCCAGAGAAGAAAGTCACTTTATATGTAGAAAACATGATAAACATTGATGGCATCTTCAAAATACAGAAAGGAAAAAAGAATCTGTCAACCTAGAATTTTAAATGCAGAGAAAATGATGTCAAAATAATATTCCAGGGCCGGGCGCTGTGGCTCACGCCTGTAATCCTAGCACTCTGGGAGGCCGAGGCGGGCGGATTGCTCAAGGTCAGGAGTTCGAAACCAGCCTGAGCAAGACCCCGTCTCTACCAAAAATAGAAAGAAATTAATTGACCAACTAAAAATATATATACAAAAAAAAAAAATTAGCCGGGCATGGTGGCGCATGCCTGTAGTCCCAGCTACTCGGGAGGCTGAGGTACAAGGATCGCTGAGCCCCGGAGATTGAGGTTGCTGTGAGCCAGGCTGACGCCACGGCACTCACTCTAGCCCGGGCAACAAAGTGAGACTCTGTCTCAAAAAAAATAAATAAATAAATAAAAATAATAATAATAATAATAATAATATTCCAGGACAAATGCAGAAGAATTGCCTACATACCTGCACTGTAATAAATCTTAAAGACTTGTACTGTAAGAGATCTTAAAGTTACTAAAGAAAAAGGAAATGATTCCAGATGAAGACTTAGATCTACAAAAAGAAATAAAGAGTATGTAAATAGTAAATATATGAGTAAACTAAAGACTTATACTCATTAATTTCTTTAAAATATACTTGATTGTTTAAAGCAAAAAAAAGTGGGATTCATAACAAATGTAAAAGTAAAATTTTGACAACAGTAGCAAAAGGACAGGAGGGAGGAAATGGAAGTATATTATTTTAAGGTTCTTATTTTACATGGAAAGCAATATACTATTATTTGAAGGTAGATTATGATAAGATGAAAACGTATATTGTAAACCAGAGCAAACAAAGAAAATAACAGTCAATAGTAGATAGAAAATGGAAAACAAAAAACAATGCACAAAGGCCAGCATGTCTGCTTTCACATTTACTTAAATTGTAATAAGGTGAGAAAAATAAATAAAAGGCAACCAAATTGGAAAGGAAGAACTGAAGTTGTCATTATTTTCAGATGAAACAATAGTTTTTGTGTAACGTCAAACAGAATCTACAAAAAAAAAATTGAGTTTAATAAATGAGTAGCAAAGTTTCAGGATACAAAATCAATATACAAAAATCAATTACATTTCTATATATCATTGAATATTCTGACATAGAAATTACTAAAGCAATTACATCAGCAAAAATCAAAAGGAATACTTAGGAATAAATTTAACAAAAGAAATACAAGACATGTACATTGAAAACTGCAAGACATCACTAAGAAATTAAAAAAGATCTAACTAAATGGAGAGATTCTTAAGGTTCATGGATTGGAAGATAAGATATTGTCAAAATAGTGTTTCTTCAAAAATTGACCTATAAATTCAATGTACCTATGTCAAAATCCAAATAGACTATATTATAGAAATTGACAAGCTGATCAAACATTTATATAAACATGAAAAAGGATCTAAAAATTGTAAAGAATATAAAAATTTTGAAAAAGAATAGAGTTGGTGGATTTATACTATCCACTTTTGAAACTTAATATAAAGTCATAGTAGTTAAGACAGTATGGTATTGGCACAAGGATAGGCATACAAATCAATGAAACAGAATTGAGAGTCCTGAAGAAAATCCTTACATTTATAGTCAATTGATTTTCAACAAAGGTGTTTAGACAATTCAACAGGGAAAAGGTCTTTTCAACAATGGTACTGAAATACTTGGAATATCCATAAGAAAAAAAAATGAACTTAGACCCCTACTTTACACCATACACAAAAACAGATCACAGTGGATCATAGATTTAAATGTAATAGCTAAAACTATAAAACTTCTGGAATAAAACACAGGAGAAAATGTTTTCAACATGTGGTTGGACAAAGAGTTCTTGGACATGACACCCAAAGGATGATCCATGAAAGAAAAAAATTTGATAAAGTGGACTTCATCAAAAATTAAAAACTTTTATGTTTCAAAAGATCCAACTAGGAAAATGAAAAGGGAAGCCACATTAGGAGAGAATATTTGCAAATCATATACTTAATAAAGGACTTGTATCCAGAACATACAAAGAACTCATAACTTAGAAGATGAATAAACTTGTTTAACACATATTAGATATTTAATTTTAGTGATTCTAATACATGTGTAGAACTTTGTTGTGGTTTTAATTTGCATTACTCTAAAAGCTAATGAGGTTGAATATTCATCTGCTTATTTGACATCAGTAAATCTACTTTGGTGAAACATCTATTTGAATGTTTTGCCAATTGTTAAACAACATTTACCACCAGCAGTCTAAGAGTTCAAGTCATTCATCATCCTTCTAACAGCTGGTAAAACCACTTTGGAAAAGTTGGTAATTTCTTAAAAATCAAACATATACCACCAGCCATTCCATTCCTAGGTATTCACCCCCAATAAATGTGAAGTCTTCATACAACTTCATACAACCTGGATGAACCTCAAACATGTTATTAGTGAAAGTGAAAAGACACCAAAAACCTACTTATTTTATGATTCTATTTATATGAAGTTTAAAAAGGCAAATTTATTTTATTTATTTATTTTTATTTCAGGATTTATAGTGACAAAAAACTAATCAGTAGTTGCCTAGGACTGGAGGCGGGAGTATGGATTAACTGAAAACAGGCACTAGAGAATTTTTGGGGTAATGTAAATATTCTAAAACTGAACTGTGGTGATGGTTTCACAACTCTATAAACTGACTAAAAGTATTGAACCATAAACTTCCAGTGGAAGAATTTTATGATATGGAAATTATACCTTAATAAATCTTTAAATTTCAAAAAAGGAAGCATAATGAAGAGAGTAAAAAGATAATCCAAAAATTGCAAATAACACATAAAAGCAACATCAGACTAGTGTCCAGAATATATAAAGAATGCTTATAAAATCATTTTATAAAGGTTAACTATCGTAAACAAAAAGATGAATAAAAGAAAAAGCCAGGCACAATGGCATGCACCTGTAGTTCCAGGTGCTCAGGCTAAGCTGGGAGCTGTCACTTAAGCCCAGGAGATAGAAGCTAGCCTGGGCAATGTAACGAGACCCCATACATAAATACACACACACATATACACATACACACAAACAAAACCAAAAACAAACATAAAAAAATGAATAAAAGAAATGAACAAGAATTTTACCAAAGAGAAAATATAACCCATAAATACATAAGATGATATTAATAATTAACAATATAATAAGATACTATTTTCAGCCACCAGACAGGCAAAAATGCCTTGGATCCAGTTATTTCTAGTAATTTATCCTATAAATCTATTTGTAAAAGCCACAAAGATGTATGCACAAAAGATAGGCATTGTAGCATTGTATAAGCATCTAATAGATTAAAAACAACCTAAATGGCTGGGCACAGTGGCTCACTCTGGGAGGCTGAGGTGGGCCAATCATTTGAGCTCAAGAGTTCGAGACCAGCCTTAGCAAGAGCAAGACTCCGTCTCTACCAAAAATAGAAAAAATTAGCCGGTCATGGTGGCGCATGCCTATAGTCCCAGCTATTCGAGAGGCTGAGGCAGAAAGATTGCTTGAGTGCAAGAGTTTGAGGTTGCTGTGAGCTAGGCTGACACCATGGCACTCTAGCCCAGGTAACAGAGTGAGACTCTGTCTCAAAAATAAATAAATAAATAAAATAACCTAAACAAACAATCACCCATAAACAGTACTAGTTAATTATAGTATATCCACATACTAGAATACTATGACATCATTAAAAACAAACAAAAACTTACATTCTGATACACTGAAATGGGCCTATTCCATGATGATAATGTCAAATGAAAAAAGCAAGGCATAGGCCGGGAGCAGTAGCTCACGCCTGTAATCCCAGCACTTTCGGAGACTGAGGCTGGAGGACTGCTTGAGGCCAGGAGTTTGACACCAGCCTGGGCAACAAAGCAAAACCATGTCTCTACAAAAAAGTTTTTTTTAATTAGCCAGGTGTGGTGGCATGCTCCTGTAGTCCCAGCTATTCCAGAGGGTGAGGCAGGAGGATCACTTGAGCCCAGGAGTTTGAGGTTACAGTGACCTATGATCACACCACTGACTACAGCCTGGGCAATAGAGTGAGACCCTGTCTCCCAAAAAAAAAAAAAAAATTAAACTACTTAAAAAAGCAAGGCATAGAACAGTAGGCATGTACTATTTATGCTCACCTATATAGACACTCATATATATATATATATATATGAACATACATACATATATATGCATGCACATATATTCTTGTATATGCTTTAAATATTTTTGGAATGTATCATAAGAAATTTCAAAATGTTTTTCTCTGCAGAGAGAATAGGGATCACAGTACAGACATTTAGACAGTAGTATCCTCATGTACCTCAGGAAGCTTCTTATACTCATACATTATCTATTTTTTTAAAATAGTTAATACTAAATAAACAGAAAATTTATTTAGAATCATCCAGTGAATGAGATGGTTAATCAAACCAAGTAATGCTATCTCTAGAAAAAATCTGTGTTTGGATGCACGCTGGGGCCAAACACTATCAAAATACAATGGCATCATCACAGCTCACTGTAACCTCAAACTCCTGGGCTGAAAGGATTCTCCTGCCACAGCCTCCCTAGTAGCTGGGACTACAGGTGTGCAAAAACCACACTAAGCTAATTTTTGTATTGATCTAGGCAGCCCAGGCAATGGAACAAGACTCTTGTCTCAAAAAGAAGAAAAAAAAACACTACCTACACCAATGGCCACCAAAGAAGGCAGTGATTAAGACCATCCATTGAGGTTGGAGAAGAAAATCTTATAACTTCAATTTATATCCATTTGTAATCTCATTCTTTAATTTCTATTTTTGAATATATTTTATTATTAATAATAGTAGATAACATTTATGGAGCACTTATGTATCAGGCACTATTCTGAGCAAATACATTAATTCATTTAACTCAATAATCCAGTAAGGTAGAGAAAATTATCACTCCATTTTACATGTGGGGAAATGAAGCATAAGAGTAGGATATTATCTGTTTGTTTTTTAGTGGCTTCCCCAACTTTACATTGATAGAAGCAGGATTTAAAGTCTAACATCAGATTCCACTTTAACTACTAAATTATATTGTATATAATAAACTATTTCAGCAGTATATGCATAAATTCATAAATATTCATGAATTAGAGCTCAAAGTGTTTTGTTTGTTTTAGGGTTTTTTCTTACTGTTGGGAATACATGATCAAAAGAATATGGAGGCCAGGCACAGTGGCTCACGCCTGTAATCCTAGCACTCTGGGAGGCTGAGGCAGGTGGATTGCTTAAGGTCAGTTCAAAACCAGCCTGAGCAAGAGTGAGACCCCATCTCTACTAAAAAAATACAAAGAAATTAATTAGCCAACTAAAATATATAGAAAAAATTAGCTGGGCATGGTGGTACATGCCTGTAGTCCCAGCTACTTGGGAGGCTGAGGCAGAAGGATTGCTTGAGTTCAGGAGTTTGAGGTTGCTGTGAGCTAGGCTGACACCACGGCACTCTAGCCTGGGCAACAGAGTGAGACTCTGTCTCAAAAAAAAAAGAATATGGAGAGCAATGATATAAAAAACACAAAGTCTTACTCCTATATTTAAGAATATTCTTGTTATAATGATTCCTGTGATTCCACAATACCTACAAAAAAAGTAATCTCATTATTTTATAAGTTATATTATTCTACCAAGCAGGCAACTATAATAGTTCTTGTCCTCATTTTGTATGTTTTATACACACACACACACACACACACACACACACACACACACATTTTTTTTCCTGGAAAGTTGTTTAAAATAAAAAACTGTGAATTTCATCATAATTCTCAAGAAAAAAAATGATCCCAAATGTAATCACACTTGAGTATACTGATATTTATATCATAGAACAATAGTATTCTTTTGAATGCACATATCTAATTCTCCTTAAAAAGCAATGCATGAAGAGCCAATTAAATGCCTCAAAATATTCTTTACATAACAGTAATCTAAGCACAAAAACTCAGATTTAATTCTCATTTCATTGAGAATTCTCTATAGCTCCAGATAATTAATAAAGCTATGGCTAAAAAGAGCAACACAGCCAACTTATTTTTAGAAGAGCCCAGACCTAATTTGATAAAAGAGTTTATAAGAGGGCTCCCTGCTCTTGGGGCCCCAGAACCTCGTCCATGAGTGTATAATAAAGCCACGTGGTTTGCCCCCCCCAAAAAAAAAAGAGTTTATAAGAGAGTTTATACCAGTTTCAAAGTCTTAAATTCTATCTTTTATAAAGCATTTTTTTCATAAATGTTTGTCTCCATGATGTAGGAAAAAAATCAACTTGGACCTGAATTTAGGAATAAAAATAAAAGCAGTGTCTAGTCTGGGTGGATTAAATTATTGTGAAAATAAAATTGTAATACATATGAAAACAATATATATTCCTAATGGTACTTATCTATAAATATATGTATACACATAAAAAACTAAGACATTAGTAATAATAGTGATGATGAAGAACTCAAGTGGGTAAAAGAAAGTCTTAACAAATAAATCAAGGGTTGGAGGGATTGCTAGTTATACACTATTTGAGATAATGTTGCCAGAACTACATTGTAGAATTTGATATAAGCTGCCCTACCAGAGCTCTAAATTCTGGCAACAAAATCCAAAAATGTTACCAAAGCTAATATTCCAGCAGTATATTCTTGTCAATAATGCTAGTTATGCTTGAGAATTGTAGGATATATTAATATAAGCAGAATGAATAAAAATGGAGAGGTTGATTAGAAATAAGGTTTAAGCAGACTGATATCCAGTTTTTTATAAATTATAGTGACTCAAGAAATACAGTACACATAATTTCTATAAGCATATATACTATTCAGTAATGTATTCAATTTAATATATTACCTAATATTTAGCAACTGACCAAATAAAAAATGAACTTATAAAAGATAAAAGATATTTGTATGCTAATAAATTGCTATATTTTTCCAGAAAAAGTATTAGTTAATTAGGTTACCTTTGGTCCTGAAACTGAGTGGAGGGCATTTTTGGCAGATATGGAATGAGGAAAGGTATTTTGAAATGCAAATGCAGAGGAGACAGGATAGCCAATCCCACAAGTTGGGTAAGTTAGTCTACCATCAACCTAAAAATAAAAACATAAAAATGATTAAAAATGAGAAATTCTAAATAGTATTTATTAATCAGGAGGCATTAGCATGTGTTATAATAGCTAACAGTTAAGAGCGCTATCTCAGAGGCCAATTTGTTTATGATACCACAAAACTCTGCTTTATTATATAGCATGAAGCTGGGATACCTTTGAACCAGACAGTTTTTTTGAGTGGTTGTACAAGCCTGGATAAAATAAACTACTGGACCTGCCCTTGTACTTTGTTAAAACAAAGACTTCTGAACCATCTTGTTTTATTCTAGGGTTCCTGAAAAGCAGAGGAATTGGGGATACGGAGTCAGAGATCAATAGGCTAATCAAAGATAAAATAAAAATTTTCTGTCAAACTGAGTAAAAAGATCAGTGTTCTTAAATGGACTGAGACAATAATTGGATTTGCACTAATTTTCAATATTCTGGCATCACTATTAACCAATGTTATAAAAACAGTTTATTTTTGTAAGAGACCAACTGAAACAAAAATCTTAAGAAGCATCTGTTCAGACCAATGGCTGCACAACAAAAATTTCTTTCACACAGCTGTCTATCACCAGTCATTCAAGATTAAGCCAGTTAAATTTTTTCAAGTTTATAATTCAGACTCAAGCACTTCTGTAGCTTTTTCCAATTTAGCAGCAATTTTTTCCATTCTTTAGGCATTTAGTACTATCTGATTTGCCAGAGTAGATTAAAAATTCAATTAGGTATGTGAATTTCAAACCGTCTACCAATGCCTTCCATCAGAAGACCACCAGGAACACATCCATAGATGTACAAGCTGGGTTTATTATTCCTCCTTGCAACAAGGGAAACTGCACACCATGGAGAACTACAGGGTAATTCAGTAAGTGGGTGTTAAATGGAACTTACTTTATGGATTTAGACAATGATAGGAGATTTAAGAGAAAATTTAAGAAACTGGGGCATTGCTATGGATGGGAAGCTATCAGGAAGTGGGAATAAAGATATGACTGGGTATCTGAATAAACCCTAACTAATAAGGGAGGAGGAATGCATTAAGGCCAAAGCTATAACTGGTAAAGAAGCAGCAGCCACTCATGTTAGCCAGGAGAAGAGGATGTGTGGCCATGTTTGTGGTTTAAAAATGTTCATAATGATGCCAGATGATTGCAGTCGCTAAAAAAAAAAAAAAAAAAAAAAAAATGTTCATAATGGGACAGAACGAGGGAACGCAACGGAGGCAGGCAGGAGCGGCCGTCACCATGACCCACGGTGAGCAGCGTGAGCTCGCCTGCCAGAAGAATAAGAAAATGTAGAGCGACTCGGTTAAGGGAAAACGCCGAGATGATGGGCTTTCTGCTACCGCCCACAAGCAGAGGGACTGAGAGATCATGCAGCAGAAGCAGAAAAAGGCAACGCGAAGGAGGAACCCAAGTAGCTTTGTGGCTTCGTGTCCAACCCTCCTGCCTGTGTGCCTGGAGCCAGTCCCACCATGCTCGCGTTTCCTCCAGTAATGCTCATGGGTCCCAGCACCTATGGCATTCCCTTTGCCCTGAGTCTGCAGCCGGTCCCTTTTGTGCTTCCTTCCCCTCAAGTAGCCTCTCTCCCCCTGGGCCACTCCTGGGGGTGAGGGGGTTATCCTTCCCAGAGTTTTTTATTCCTGTGGGGCTCACCCCAAAGTATTAAAAGTAGCTTTGTAATTCAAAAAAATAAATTAAAATGTTCATATTTTTGTCTGTGTTCAGACACGATTATGGAGTAGCCTTAATTTTGTCCTGATCCATCATGGTCACAGAGTGACCTTGTCTGATGTTGACGTTCTATGAAATTGTTATGTTCAATAGGAGAGCCCCAAAGCCTATCTGAGAGCACTAGGCAAGCTCCTAGCAGCAGCACCTAGGCCTAGCCACCTGATAGTAGCAGGACATCTCCAAATGTAAAGAGCTACTTTTCTTATTCTCCATTTTTTTTCTCGCAAGAAAAAAGCAAAAGACCCAGTCCTGGGAGCTAGAAAGCTTACATCTCATACCAGTTTCTCTAGAATCTTGAGCTGACAACCCTGGTCCCGGGGCTTTTCTTTTTCCTCTCTTTTTTCTGACAAAATTCAGTTTTGGCTTCTTCTATCATAGTTCCTTGTGCCCAAACCCTAAATTCTCTCTTCTTTAAGTCTCCTAAATATAGTATGTGTACGTTTTAAAGTTTTTCAGCATATTTGGAATTACCTTAGTTAGTACTGAATGATTTCTATACCCAGTAAAGTTTTATGAAGAAGTGTGCCCTTGAAACACAGCCTTTTTGTTAAAAGCATATATGCCTTTGTCCCACTTCAGGGGCAACTTAAACTTTACTTTAGTGCTAATGATAGTAGGACTTCAGCCTGTATTGGTACCAACACCTTAAGTCATGGAAACTTCCTAACAATCTGGGAATATTTTTGTTTCAGAAAATTCACTAAGATCACTTACACTTTATTTTAATCTTACCACATTCAAGTTAGGAGAAATTCCACTTCTGATTGTGTTGCTGCTAGAATGTGCAGGTGGAGTAGTAGAAGGTACCAATACGTCTTGCTTTCTCACCAGCTGATTTTCATTTAATTCTTTATTTAACCATGTGATTACTTAAATAAAAGAGCAAACGTCAAAGTAATTTGACTATTTTTATTTTTTGATCATTTTAAGCAATTTTATTAAGATTTTTAAAATTATAAGTTTTTACAATGACCTTACATCATAGGAGAACAATATAGGTTCACCTAAATGTTTGTAATTAAAGATTCTTATTTTAGCAACTGTCACACAGGACTCCTTTTTCTATTACTTTCAGAAGCACATATTTCTGCCAGTCAAGCATCTTTTTGAAAGCTTTCACTTCTAGAATACAGTTTACTGTATTCACAATCTTAATGTCTGATACTTAGGTACTAGAAACTGAGAAAAATGTTAGAAGCTTAATCTTATATTTTAGTTTCAAACAATTCATATCATTATTATTAGGTGAACAGCAATTTTTAAAAAGGAGTAGTAAAAAATTTAAACAGTAAATTATATTCAACATATTAAATAGTTTTAATTTGGGGTTAAATACATGTGATATGGTTTCTTCATAATTATGATAACTATTTTACTGGGTAACTGATATAATTTACTATAGCAAAGACATTAAGATAGCATATTAAAAGCACAAATTATTTATATATAGCAATATATTGATTTACCCACACTTTTATGAATTCAAATAAAATTTTTAGGTTAAGAAAATTATAAACCTCATTTACATATAAATGTAACATACTTACACTTTTCATTATTTTTTAAAAGCTGTTTGCTTTCTTCAAGTTTTTGAACTGTAGCTTCTAATTGTTCTTGTAACTTGCACACCTGAAATATTCCAATCCTCACAGTAAGTCAAGCAAAATAAAGATTAAATAAAAACTGAAGAAATGCATTTATTATTAATTAAATACTGATATTAAATGAGAATAAAGGGATTAGGCTCAACTTTGTAATAAAATACTTATGTGTATATACATATAGATATATGAGCAATCAAGCAATCAAAGTATCTGAGTCATGATAATTAACTTTTCAAAGTGAAATAGGTTATTAACTTCTGTTGAATCTAGTGTTCTTTGATTTAAAAAAGGGACAAACCCACTAACTAACAAAGTAGAAATTTTTAAAAATACATCTGAGGAAATAAAATAGTAATACAAAATTATAAAATATTAACTACCTCTTGCTCTTTAATTCGAAGAGACTGTCCAACATCTTGTAATTCCTTTTGCTCCTTTTGTAATTTTTCCTCTTTCTCAGCCAAGAGTTTTTCCTGCTGAATAGTAACTGTATTCTTCAGTTTCAACTTACCCATTAGAGTTTTCAGATCTCCTTGTAACTTCTTGATAATTTCATTTGCCTGTAAAAGAGATGATATGTATATCTCCACATAAGCTGATGAAATATTAATATTCTACTAAATTTTTAAAACCAACCTTCAGAAGTTCTGCTGATAATGATTTTATTGTAGCTTCAAGTTTTCCTAGCTGTACTTGATTTTTCTCCCCATTTTCTTCTAAGGCCACCTGATATATATTTTTAAAAACATGAATAATTAGGGCATTTGTGTTTATTTAGGAAGAGCATCACTTATAAATATGATCGCTTTGTTTAGAAAAATTTAAAAGTAGACCTTCTGTTCCTGGATTGTATCAAATGCTTCTTTTGTTCTTAAAACAAGCTGGTCCTTATCCTTGATTTCCTGTTCTAAAACTGCCACTTTTGTTTGTAGCTGATTAATATGCTTTTCTTTCTCATGGCATTCAGCATCTAGTGTAGAATTCTCTCTTCGCAAAGACAGGACTTCTTGCTTAGTTCGCTGCAACTCCTAGAGGGAGAAAAATTAAATTATATATTATGAAAAGGGGAAGTTGGGTGGTCTAGTTATTTATAGTTAAGATCTTTAAAATATCAAAAATATTTTTTTAATTTTAAAGTTCTAATTCATATTGTTTCTTAAACATGAAAATCTCTCTATGTTATGTGTAACATAGATTTAGAATACAATTATAAAATACACTACTATTTCATTCAATCATATTAAGGGAATATAAAACAATCCTGATTTGTGAATAAATTACTACAACTTTTAAAAACTTTTAACAAGAATTTTCTGATGTCTCCCCAACTTATTCTAAGGATAGACAAGGATGAGAGCCACAATCTAGAATAAACATTTTTCTCTGTTACTTTTATCTACAGATTTTTTTTAAAGGCTCATACTGTTCAGTTTATAATCTATCTTCTTCACCTAATATATTACAAATATTTTTCCATGTCAAAAAATATGGCAAAATTTCTGAATTTCCTTTTGGTTCACTCTTTGAAGCACAAATGACAATTGTTAATTATCTAAAAAATCTAAAATAGATTACTTCTCAATCAGCTAATACTAACCCAAATACTGATATACACAGTTCAGTATATAGTATTCCTAGATAGTTTTAGTCTTTAACAAATTTTAAAAAATTAATTTTACAGTATTATCCTATAGTGGTTTTAGGAGCATAGAATCAAACAGAATTTAAATTCTGTGATCTTGAGAATTACTTAATTTCCCTAAACCTCAGTTCCCTCATTTGTACAACAGAAATGATAACAAATACTTAATAAATTATTTCATTTAATCTTCATAAAAATCCTTAAATTGCCTTGTTCAGTGGCTGGCATATAGTAAATACTCAATAAATGATAACAATTATTATTTTAAGGGCAGTAATGCCTAAAGAGTATAATTTAGGAAAGTTAAATAATGAATACTCAGAAGTAAAAAAAAACTTCCCAGGACTCATTATTTGTAAGTCTTATGCAAATCTTGAAAGATATACTTTGATTAGATTATATAAAAATCGACATAATGAAGACTGTCTATATACTGGCCAGTTTCAGGGCTGAGACAGAAGAAATCACATAGCATTATAATGAATCTTTTAGACAACCAATATATCATGAAGTCTGAAATATTTTACTAACTGATGTGAAGTGTGTAAGTAGGAAAAACTGAAGATGTCTATTGTTGGGGCAAAACACTATGAGGACATGAACATAAAATTGATCAGACATTAGAGCTTCTAAGCAGGATAGACTGGAGAAATGGATGTGGAAAAGTCTTGTGAACTGGAATAACACTGGTGATCTTTCTATTTAAATATGATAGATTTTGAAAATCTATATATATTTCCTGATAATTCATATGACAATAATGTACAATAATGCTACACAGTCTATCATCAGTGCCAAAGCATCAACAAATGTGCCATTACAGCAATATTTTAAAAATTTCTTTGTTGGCTGAGAGAACAAGGTAATACAAAAGATAGGCAAATAACAAATGGGTTCCAATCCTTGCCTTCCACTTACTGGATGTGACCTTACACAAGTTAATGTCTCTGTACCTTAGTTTCATCATCTATAAAATGGGGATAATAATAAAACTTCCCTTAAAGAATTGTTATAACAGCTAAATGCACTAATAAATGCCTATCACATAGCAAATGCTCAGTAAGCATTAGCTATTATCTTTACTATTACTATTATCATTATTATTACTGGACACTAAACTTCATATAATTGTGTGATATGTTGAGTTGGCTGAGGAAACGAACCACCCCTGTCAACAATGACACCCTATGAGAGACAGATGCCACGCTAATATTAAAAATACACTCAAGAATCCTAGAGCTGAGCCAGTAAGCTGTTTAAGACTCTAACTAAAATTATCCAAGTTCACCTCCGTTCTGTTCTGAATTAGCATTTTTATCAAATTTCAGATTCTCAGTTTTCTTTGCATTGTCTGAACAGATTACCCTAACACCACAAGAGAGCTGTGCAGAGCATCCAGAGGACCAGCACCCACATAAGCAATAAAGTAAACAAATTAAAGCATTCTTTTAAATTAGAGGGGAAAAAAATCCACAACATTCAATACCTCTTCAACACCAGAAAGTTTTGCTTTAAGTTCTCTAATAGTGGAGTCTCCTTTATATTTTCTTTCAGTTAGGTCTTTATTAGCTGCTTCTAACTCAGACACTCTGTTTTGTAGCTGATGGATGTTTTGTTGATGGAGAATTTCTAGATCTTTTTTCTGTTGTTCATGCTGCTGTTGATATTGAACCTGTGCCTATTATATAACAAAAACATAGTACCAAAATTCAAAGAAAAAAATCAGAAATACAAATATAAAAATATTTTGGAAAAAACTGTAATTTCTTCTTTATAATTATTAGATGACTCTGTTTTTAAAAGGGTCTATTTTCAATTATGAATTTCATGAAAGAGAAAGTAAGGTCAAGAAAGGCAAATTTACCACAATAATCTTGTTCATCACTTCTGCTTCTCCTAAACCCACATATGTTTAATAAACATCAGGGGAAGAATGATACAGGATTAAGTAAAAAAAGCAAACTGCAAAATAGTATATATAGTATGAATGTACTTGTGCTAAAAAAATGAACAGGTATATAGAACTTTTACTTTTTGCTTTAAACACTATTATAATGTTTCAGTTTTTTACAATCAGTACATATATAAATTAATATGTTTGACAATAGAAAAATACCTACAATTGTAAAATCAGCAAGGTTGGTTCATTAGGCCAATCTCATATTTAGTTCACATTTTACCAATAAAATTTGAGCATAATTGTAACTATGCAATCTCTAGTGCCTGTCTAAATCATATCACAAACCTATCTTAATAATTTCTGTTAATGAACAATATCAAATCCTAAATACCTTTTTAAAATAGTCTATTTTCCTGATTATGAAAGTTAAACATATTTTGAAATAAAAACAAAAAAATTATATAGTGTATCCATGTAACAAAAACATTTGTACCTCCTTAATATTTTGAAATAAAACGAAAAAAAGTTGAGTATGTTACTAAAGGCAAAAGAGGAAATCACAAATAACTCATAATCCCATCCAGGGAGTCCTCCTAATATTTAGGAATATTTCTTTCCATTCATTTATGTACTTGTATTGACATCCCACATGCATACACAATATACATATTTAAATTTAATGAATTAAGATCAAGATATTTATGCAATTTAATTATGATTTTTATTTCTTTAGCATTTGCACCATCTCACATCTTTAAAAAACTCTGTAAATACTTTAATAGCTACATAACATTCCATTCCATGGTTACTCCATAATTCATTTAACCCCTGCCCAATTATGGACATGTTCTAATTTTTCACAATTAAAAATAAAACTATGATTAATATTTTTGTACATATATGTACATCCAAAATTCACATTATTTCTTTATGATCAATTACAGGTTAAAGAATATAAACAAATATAAAGCTTGATATAAGTTCCAGAATTACATTCCAGAACAGTTATACCCATTCACAATTCTTAGCACTAATACAGGAGAGTGTCTCTCTCATAAAATGCTTTGGGAATTTTATATTACTACTTCAGGAATTCCTTCATTTTTGGAAAACTGGAAAGGAGAGAGGAGAGGGGCAAGAAGAAATAAAACAGGAAAAAGGCTACATAAAATTGAAAAAATCTTGGAAAACACATTGAAGAAGGAATCAAGAAAAAAAAATCAGAGCAAACTGGTAAAAATGATAAAGATACTAAAGACAGAGGTGGCCGAAGTCAGTAAAAATAAAGAACTGGTTTTACCCTAGCAATTATTAAGATTCCAGGGATTTTTATTTAAACAACAAGTGTGAGGGATAGGATTACAGAGTTCACATTTTCTACTTTGTTCATGTCTGAATCCTGTGAATATTTTTAGAATAATTACATAAGAAAAATATTTCTACTCTGAAAGAAAAAATAATTTTTGAAGGGGTAGTTTCAGAATTATAGCAAAATAATCAAGCCCCAAAGAAAACAGAGAATTTATAGAGGTAAAAGCAATATTTGTCAAAAGAATATTCTACAGCGGCTTTAATCCAAAGAGCACAGTAGTTTTTAGAAGAACATTAGATGAAAATATTTTGGGGATGGATTTATAACGCTAACAATTGGAAAATAAAGACTAATAGAAAATTTTATGAAAAAGAAAAGTGAATAAAACAGAGAAACACTCTGGGAGGCCGAGGCGGGCAGATCACTCAAGGTCATGAGTTTGAAACCAGCCTGAGCAAGAGCGAGACCCCATCTCTACTAAAAATAGAAAGAAATTAATTGGCCAACTAAAATATATATAAAAAATTAGCCGAACATGGTGGCACATGCCTGTAGTTCCAGCTACTCAAGAGGCTGAGGCAGAAGGATCGCTTGAGCCCAGGAGTTTTAGGTTACTATGAGTGCGGCTGATGTCACAGCACCCTAGCATGGGCAACAGAGTGAGACTCTGTCTCAAAAGAAAAAAAAAAGGATGCTTATCTTTACTAAAAATAAAAGCAATATAAATTAAAACAAGTACTACCTTAATACCTCTCAGGTGGCAAATATTAAGAGGTTAATAATAATGTCAAGAACATGGGGAAATAAGTATCCTCACATAGTATCTTTGGGATGGATTCCATTTGATTCAACCTTTTTGGGCAGAAACTGCAGTATCCACCAATATTTTATATGGATACATTGCAATTTCACCTCTAGAAAGAACATTCATTGCAGTATTGTTTGCAATAACCAAAATTTTGGGCCAGGCGCGGCGGCTCACACCTGTAATCCTAGCACTCTGGGAGGCTGAGGCGGGTGGATTGCTCCAGGTCAGGAGTTCAAAACCAGCCTGAACAAGAGCGAGACTCTGTCTCTACTATAAATAGAAAGAAATTAATTGGCCAACTAATATATGTAGAAAAAATTAGCCGGGCATGGTGGCGCATGCCTGTAGTCCCAGCTACTCAGGAGGCTGAGGCAGTAGGATTGCTTGAGCCCAGGAGTTTGAGGTTGCTGTGAGCTAGGCTGACGCCACGGCACTCACTCTAAAAAAAAAAAAAAAAAAAAATTGGGGGGTAAGTACTTAAATAATTAAGTTACATCCAAACAATAAATACTATGCAGCCACTAAAAAGGAATATCTGAACTGATACAGAAAGATATCTATGATGTCATGTTAAGTGAAAAAAAGTTACAATCAATATATCCAGTAAGACCCCATTAGTATAGAACAAAACCAAAACCCGCTGTATGTATACATATATGCCTAATTAAATTATATAATTTAAATGATTTATAATTTTATAAGTATAAACAAATATTATAAATTGCATATGATTTACATATAGAGAAAAGTCTGAAAAACACACATGAAAATGTTTATTCAAAGACTATACTTTCAAGGGATTGTTTCTACAGTTTATTAGAGAAGTTTCTCTAGTACAACCTACAAAAGTTTCTCTATCTTACACATTTCTAGGTTTAACATGCAGAAAAGTTAAAAAAATAATAAATTAAAAGAATGTTTATAGGTTATCTCTGGGTAGTAAGACTTTGAAAGAAAGACTTTCTATTTTATATATTTCTGTAATGTTTGAAAAATTTAAAGCAAAAATATATCAATTTTATAATTAACAAAATGGCCAATAGTAATAAAAAATATATTTTCAGTTTCCTTTAATGTTCTTACCTGCAAGGCTTTTTCCTTCTCATTTGTTAGTTCCTGAGAGTGCTTATTTGACAATGCTGCCGTGTGTGATGCCCATTCGTTCCGTAACTTATCTAATTCTTGGATTTTTTCTGATAATGTCTATAACAGAGTTCAATATAAAATATTAAGATATTCTCCTGAGTATGTTATACTTCTGACTGTAACACAGCAATATTTACAAGGCTATGAAAGAAAACAAAATTACAGCTCTTCAGGACAGCTCTTCAAAGCCTTTTCCTACACAGATTTTTTTAATTTGAGAAAATCAAGATTAGAATGAAAGTAATCTTATGTCAAGCTTAACTATCTTTTAAGCTTTTCGTTAAATCTGGCTTTTTACCACCAAATCCTCCCCTCTGGCATTAAGAAATAATGCAACTCAGGATGGAGCAAGTCAGTTATAAGGAGTAGTTCACATATTATACATAAAACCCAGTAAGTAACAAAAAAAGGGCCATGTTGTGCAGGGATATTTTCTGCCTGAAGCCATGCAGCTTATCTGATACTTTGGCCTGCAATTTCAAGATCTAAGGGCAGAAATATGGTAGCTATGACTGAAATGATGCTAAGCCTATCAGAGGAATTAATTCTAAATGTAAAAGAAGGAAGGGAAAGGTTTAGAAGATAGCAAATGAAAAGCCATTTTAGGTTGGAGGAATGAGATGAATAAAAGGAGAGTAGAGAACTAATATATGACAGACACTATATATTATCTTATTTACTAAAGACTAAGGAGGGAATATATCATAGATTGAAGATAACAGAAATGTGTGGGCAGAATAAAATATGTATTAATAAAAGAAAAAGCATCAGATTAAGATAATTAACTGGCAGGTAAAGGGTGGTAAAAAGGAGAGGAAATTCAATGGTGGCATGTTTTTAAAGAAAATTACAAAAAAGCTTGGAATTGAGTCAAGAAGTCAGAGCCAATGTCTGGGTGAGTTAAAAAAAAATGAAATATGAATTACCTTTTGCGTGAAGTTCAGTTTCCTAGTAACATCATCTAGTGATTGTGTCAATGATAATTTTTCTTCCTATTTATAAAAACAATAAAATGTAATTTACAATTCAATTATCTGTAGCCATACTACTCAAAGCATACCAAAATACAGCATCAGCATCATCCTGGATGCTTGTTAGAAATGCAGAATCTCAGGCTCCATTCTCAGATCTTCGAAATCAGAATTTGCCTTTTTAAGAAGATCCCCAGATAATCTGTGTACCATTAAAGTTTGAAATGCACTGATCACTTGACTACAAAGACTTTCTAAAAACTCCCAAGCAGCATCTCTACATTGTTTCCTATTGTGTCATATAGCTTACATAGCACTTTGTTATTTTCAAGACACTTTTATATATTTTATGTCATTTAAGATGGGCTAGATAGGGCAGATATTTTCATACATATCTACCAGTTGATGAAATCATGATACAAGAGTTTAAGTGACCCACTTAAAGTCACAGAAAATTAGTAACAACTCTGGGACCTACATTTCTCAATTCCTGCTCCAATTCTCTCCTTATTATATCTTAATTAAATGAAAAACAATAAAATAAAATAAATCCATTACATGTTATAAAACTTTATTTAGAAAACAAAAACTTATGGCAATATAGCTCTTCAGTGATGTAGTAAAGACATTTGTTACTTATTTTAAAACAATAACTTAAAATTAAATCTTACCTTGCTACATTTCAAACAGCCTGCTAGAAATTTCTTTATCTCCACATCATTTCCAGGTAAAAGTTTTAGTGAGAGGTGTGTAAGATGCTTAAAAGGGTTTGTTTCTACCACATTTAAAGATACAGGTGAGTTATCCAAAATAGCTGCTGGAGAAACTAACTGTAGTAAAAACCTTTGAAAAGAAATGTCACATTATAACACATTTATGAAATTGTGAAACACTCTCATTGAATCATGAGCTCCACTATTTAGAAAAATCAGGAAAGGGCACATATTGAAAACAGGGGCCAATATCAAAGGACTCTCAATGATAAAAGACAAGATAAATTGGGTAAAAAACAGAAAAAAGATTGGTTGAAACACAGTAAATATATAAGTTCATGAGTTCATAATAAGAGACAAATGAGAGAGAAAGCAAGAATTAAAAACAAAAACTCATTGAACACCACAGAAGTAACTGGAGTACCAGCTTAACTCTAAAAACTGACAATTTAAAAGCAAAATTAAGCATTTATCCTTTCCTACATGACTTTTCAGAGTAATCAAATAGCCCCAATTGATAAGAGAAAGTTTTTCTTTATGGAAGAATTATGCTTAAATAAATATGGGAAGTGATGGATTTGGAAAAGCATATTTTAAAAAAAATTTATTTCATTATTTCTTTATTTTTATTTATTTAGAGACAGGGTCTCACTCTGCCACTGAGGCTGAAGTGCAGTGGCACCATCATAGCTCACTGCAGCCTCAAACTCATGGGCTCAAGGGATCCTCTTGCCTTAGCCTCCCATGTAGGTGGCATTACAGGCACGTTCCACCACCACACCCAGCTTAGAAAAGCATCATTTTGTAGTTCCTAATGAAATAATTGATTCAACAACAATTATGAAACCAATAAATAAAAGTTGATGGTAAACTTTACAATGACAGGATAAGGCACCACACACATACACAAAATCTTATTCTTCTCCTTTTCCCAGATCATTATAAAAACAGATACTTGATGTGTTAAATATTTCAAATAACTTTAGTGGCTATGTCAAAACATGAAAATTAAGAGGTAAGTATTTCTGATTTTAATCAAGATTCCTGGCCGGGCGCGGTGGCTCACGCCTGTAATCCTAGCTCTCTGGGAGGCCGAGGCGGGCGGATTGCTCGAGGTCAGGAGTTCGAAACCAGCCTGAGCAAGAGCGAGACCCCGTCTCTACTATAAATAGAAAGAAATTAATTGGCCAACTAATATATACAAAAAATTAGCCGGGCATGGTGGCACATGCCTGTAGTCCCAGCTACTTGGGAGGCTGAGGCAGGAGGATCCCTTGAGCCCAGTAGTTTGAGGTTGCTGTGAGCTAGGCTGACAAAAAAAAAAAAAAAAAAAAAAAAAAAAAAAAAAAAAAAAGATTCCTTACAGTTTAAGATTTAAAGCCCTAATTCCAATTTTAAAAATAAACAGGTATACTTATAATACATGTAAAATATTTTGCCATCAACTTGTGTTTTGAAGAATATGTCTTAAAAGAAGTTTAATAATGTAGTGTTCTCATGTGACTTACCTTGGAATTTCTTTGGTGTGTTCTTGAGTACACTGCTGAAGGAGATCTATAAATTTTTGTGGGAAAGCTAAGAAGTCTACCAGAAGACCTTGCTGGAATTTTAAACTACACAGAAGACAGAAAAAGAAATTTTTAAAAATGCAATTACTTTAAATTAAATTATATTTAATTATAATTAACACTCTGAAAGATTCTTTTTTTATTCACTGAACATCTATCATAATCAAGAACTAAGCTAGGGAACTTTGATTTTTATAAAACTTATGAGAGGAAAAAGGTCAATAAATTTAGCTAAAGCTCCAAATTTCTGAGTCGTTTAGGTAGTATTCTGATAATCTATGAGATATTTATTTTCAAAAATACCCTAAATAATTATAGTACAAATAGTCCAATATTCTCAAAATAACTAAATGTTGCTAATAAGTATGTGTTTCAAAGAGAACAGTGCCAATACATTCATAAAACTTAAAAACTTACTTATTCCTAGATTAAATATAAGATGAGAAAAAAATTAGTTACCTTTGAAAATCTTCCTCAGATATAACAAGGTTATATAGAAAAAATGGATCCATGTCATCAGTCAGACGGATAACTAAGTCCTAAAAGAAAGTTTGTTGTTTTTTAATGTTTTCAGCAGATTAGGCTTTTAGAGTAATTTCTTTCTTCTTGCAAGTAATGATCCAATAACATCAATGTATCACAGTTATACTTCAGATAGCTTTGTGTTCTGATGCTGCTGGTTTTTTATTAGTCTTTAGAGAGCTAGAATCTTAAATGGGGGTATATTCTGCTCCTTGAGAGCCACACAGAGGCCGGTAACAGTTAATTAAATGCTAAGAGTTGAAGGCTTAAGAAAATTTAGACCCAGCCCTTGCTGACACAATGACAAAACTATTCTTTATGTATGAACATATCATTTAATTATATTTTCAGTTTCCCTCAAGTTAACTGGTCTGGCATTTCAAAAGTGGCAAATATATCAGCAGAACTGACAATCATCCACCCAGGAAAAAGAAGGAGCCATTGTCTGTCAGGCAGAGGACAGGGGTGTCAGGTGACAGGTTGCCAGTGCTGCTTCTGAAGAGCCTATTCTCTCCTACTCCAGGTGGCCATTGATATGGAACCCCATCTGTTTTCAGTCTCAAATGAAGTGGGTACCTTTCATAAAAAAGCAGTTTCCAGGTAGTTAAATTTATAGTGTGGCAGATCATCATAGCAGCTAATGCTGGCAAAAAGTACACCAAAATTACGTACTTCAGAGAACACAGGTGCAAGGAAAATAGGGTACAGCTATAAGATGATGTAAGACAAATAAAGAACTAAGCATTCAGGTTAAGAATAAGCATGAAATAAAATCTACGCATTCCCACTGAGGAAGTGCTAAGGTCCTAGAGAAATCTAAACCACTTATGAGTACAGCTAGAAAATGAAGAGGTACAGCAGGCATAAGCAATAACACATAAGAGGTATGATATATAATCCCTACCTGGGGAAATTAGCAATCTGGGTATTTGCTCTGACTCAGAAAGCCTTGTTTTTGTGTAGCTTCTATTTAAGTACTTTTTGAAATCCACCCCAGGATGCTATTTAAAAAACTAAAGCTACTACTACTACTAACTAGGTCCCTGAATGTGTTCAGGGAAAGCTGTAATACAGAGAAAACAAATGCTGTATTTCTTAGCCCTCTATTCTATATCCTTAGTTCTGTTAATGACTCATACTTTTGAAGATCATATGGGACTGATGCTTTAAATGTCTCTCTTCAAAAGATAAAGTAAAACATTCAAGAAAATCTCCCTGCAGTACTCCAATTTATTCTGTTCTCATTTTTACACCAAGAAATGACAATTTGATAAGGCAGCAATATATGTGTATATTCCAGCAACTTTTTTTTGAGATAGGGTTTTGCAAAACCAGACTGGTTTTGACTCCTGACTTCAAGTGATCCTCCTGCCTCAGCCTCTCAAATAGCTGGGATTACAGATGAGAGCGATCACACCCAGCTCCTCTAGCAACTTCTAAGTACACTGGGCAAACCTAAGGAGACTGTCACCCCAAATTCTTCTTGTATGCTTTAGAAATATATGGTATAATTATCTTTTAGTTGTTAAGTAGATTCCACCATCCTAGATTTGCAACAGTTACAAAATGGTCCAAAATTATAAAGCAAGATGGATGTAACAAAACCACATCTTTTTTCTTTTGAGATGAGACAAGGTTTCACTCTGTTACCCTGGCTAGAGTACAGTGGCATCATCATAGCTCACTGCAACCTCAAACTCCTGGGCTCAAGCAATCCTCCTGGCTCAGCCTCTTGAGTAGCTCAGACTATAGGTACACACCACCATGAGCAGCTAATTTTTCTATTTTTGGTAAAGACAGGGTCTTGCTCATGCTCAGGCCAGTCTTGAACTCCTGGCCTCAAGTGGTCCTCTTTCTTCAGCCTCCCAAAGTGCTAGGATTACAGGAGTGAGCTACTGTGCCCAGCCAGATCTCAGACTCAGAAATAAAAATAATTATCTATAATGTACAGAAATTAATATATTTCAATAAATAAATAAATACCAACCTTTCTGTGAACTGGATTAGAAACTGATTGTAGTTCAATGCTCACTCTAACACTTACTCTCCTGTATGAAAAGATATGTCCAACTATCAGAAACATTCACATAAAATGAGTTTTCACTATCATTTGCATTAATTAAAATTTTCAGTCTAAAGCTACTAGACTTTCCACAGGTGTTCTCTTAACAGATGTTTGGAAAGTACAATGGATTTGAAATTTAAGTTCTTAGTTTTCCACTACTACGTAATGTAGCAGTTTTTAACCTCAGGCCAAATTTTTCTCATCTGTAAAATGGGGATGTTGTGAGGATTAAATGAGATAAATGATAAATGATGTGGAGTGCCTAGTACTAGCTTGGTATATTAACATTACTGCCCTGCAACTAAAATAACATCATCTATTGAAAAATAAACCATCAATTTAGTAACAACTTTTCACGTTAAAAAAAATTACCATTTCAAGTGATCAAACTGACTTATGAGAGATTTCATTTTAAAAACTTAAAATATTAAGTAATGTTGGAATAATGCTTAGAATGTTTAAATTCAAGGAAATAACATATTCCCTACAACACTTATGCATACACAAAATGTTTTTTCAGATCCACAAACTAAATTTGCTCAATATATTCTCTGTGCAACATATCCACAGAAGTACTGTCAACAAGTTTATTATCTATCTCAGCCTGGAGTAACTGTAAACCCTGACAGGAAGTGACCAGTGTTCCATATTCTATACTGCACCATAGAGTATTAAGAATTGGATAGAGGCATGTAAATAAAGGGGCTCATAAATTTTGCTCAATTAATCAAAGTGAGCAAAAATGCTTAAATAATTCAGAAAATGCCAGGAAAACTTAGTGAGAAACATCTATGCACAAGTGGCTCTCAAACTATTCTGCTAGAATTAAAAAAGAATGTTCTTTGATGTGCAGGTAAAAAAGTAAACAAACAATTTGTTCAATTTTAAGCTATTCCTCTAAAGATTTAAACCTTTTCCCACACTTTACTACCTACTACAGAAGTAAAGAGTACAGACATAGCAACTGAGTATTGATAGAAAAACTTCGAAACGACTGACCAAGGCTAGATTCAACTGTTTAGATTTTTTTAAACTCTGACCTATTACTTTATATTAGTTTAAAGTGTGTAATCTTAGTTAAATTTCTTGTTGAATATGATTGGATGCTAAATCTTAGTTCAAATGATGAGGTTAAATGTTACCATAATTTGTATTTGTTACCTGAAAAGGAACAAAAAGAACTGGTCTATATCACAAAGATAGGAAAAACTATTTTAAAACAAGAGAATGTGTTGTCTCTATTTTTCTAGTATCTAGAGCAATGTATGTGAAACACATTATAGTCCTACTCCAATTCTCCTTAAATTAAGCTTTCTTGAGGGAGAAACTCAATTTCCTAATTTGGAAGATAAGTGAATTCAATCAGGTTTGTGAAGGACTACAATGCCATTATGTTTGGTTTTGATCTTTTGAAGTATTTTCTTGTTTATACTGACATAGTGGTATGATACTGCAGTTGATACCTAACTTCATATGGTATTTCAGTTTTAAAAGCCTATCATACTTCATAAATTTGTAAAAAAATTCAAGAAGCATCCATTTAATAAAGTGTTCTTTACATAATTCTATTAGAGTTATATTACTATAATTTACCAATCATATTAATTATATTATTGTATATATTCCAAATGCCTATATGCACTAAATGTTAGAAGAAAAAAGGTCCACAAATTAAATCCATTCCCCCAATTTTACTTCAAAAACACCTCTAGAAATATAGAAAAATATGAGTCTTCAAGGGATACACTATCTGAAACCACAAATCTTATTTTTTCCATTACAATGGTTAATGTCATAAGAGCAATATAAATCAATAAAAACTCAATAAATGATGTTATTTCTCATAAATGCCACACTCTGAACAAAGTGTATATATAAATCTATATAATATTCTCCCTGTGAGTTAGATTTTGCTAGGTGTTCTTTTAAATAAAAAGTATCTTAAACATTGGGTATTAGCAGAACTAGATTCTAGCCCACCTCGGCCACCCAGTAGCTGTGACCTTAAACTCTCAATTCAAACAAATAAAAGCTACTCTAAGCCAGGTACTGTGGTGGGTGCTAGGGATACAAACAGAAATAAACATGGTCCATGTTCTCCAATTGAGATCAGATTCAATGACTTTTCCCTGGATTTGCTTCTGATTGTACTAGGTGCTTTAAAAGAGGGGAGGGAAGGGTTACTAACACTGAACACCTACACTACTGAGAACCTGCCAGGTACTTTACATATATCACCTTATTTAACAATAGTCTTGTTAAGTAAATATTGCTTCTTTTAAAAAGAAAGAACCTGAGGCTAACAGAGTTACTTACTTGCCTAAGGTCACATTGCAGAGCTCAAACCAGAACTTAGATCTTTCACCTACACCACTCTAATAAATGAATAAAGGCAATTAATTTAAACAGGCAACTTTGAAGGGTCCTTATTGTCAAGTAATTTAACACACACCTTGAAGGTTATGAAAGAAAAAGCATTTGAGGCAGAGGGAACAGCAGTAGTAAAGATATGGTATAGAGAGAGTATCAGATACCTTCAGAAGATAACAAAAACTCTTGTGTGAATAGTATATTGGAAAGACAAGCTTAGGAAATAAAACAGAAAAATCAGGGTGGTGTCAAATCATAGGTTTCAAAATTCTGTATTATTTTTCTCCAGATAGAGTTCCTTGATCATTACTACTATCCTCAAGTGAATTTCCTTCTCTATGACTTTAGTATACTTCCATTACTACATGCATTAATTATACTTTATTAATAGCTAAAGTTCAGTGAATGCTTATTATGCTCTAGGCACTATTATAAGCACTTTATTTGTATTAACTCATTGCATTCTCATAATAATTCTATGAGGTACATACTGTTATCAATTTAAAGATGACACACAGAGAAGTAAAGTAAATGGTACAAGATCAGTCAATAAGTGGCAGAACTGGGATTCAAAAACCAGGTGATCTGGTTCCAGAGCCTGAACTCTTAACCTGTCCTATGCTGCTTCTCCAAGGAAAATCTTTTTATGTCCTCTATTAAAGTGTGAATTGCTTGAGAGCTGGAGTGATAACAGGTTTTTGTTGAGGGTTGGGGGAAGTTTTATATCCTCAGCATCTACGACAGTTTCTGGTACATAGTAGGTATTTGTTGAACTGAACTGGTTTTGAATACTCAACTAAAGCATATGGGTTGTTCTTCCTATAGGTAGAGTACAGCAAATCATTCTGTAAATGATAGTAAATAGTAAATATTTCAGGCTTTGCAGACCATAAGGTCTCTGTCACAATTACTCACCTCTGTCCTTATTATGCAAAAACAGCCACAAACAATTCATAAACAAATGAGTAAGGGCTATGTTCCAATAAAAGTTTATTTACAAAAACAAACAGTGGGCCATTTGACCCATGCACTCTAGTTTACTGACCCCTGCTATAGGTGATAGGAATCTATGAAAGGTTTCTAAAGAAGAGGAAGGAAAAGGTTGAAATTGTGTTTTAAGATTAACTGTGATGACAATGTAATGAGATTGAGAAAAGCTAGGAGTTTCAATATTGGAATCAGAAGTGATGCCCCCCCTCCTTCATTCTAGAACAGTGTTGCCCAACAGAGATATAATAGAGGCCACAAATGTGAGCCATATATGGAATTTTAAATTTTCTAGAAGCCACATTAAAAAAACTTTTAAAAGCAGGTAAAATTAATTTTAATACCGTGTTTCCCCCCAAATAAGACCTACCCATAAAATAAGCCCTAGCAGGATTTCTAAGCATTTGCGCAATATAAGCCCTACCCAGAAAATAAGACCTAGTGATGGGCGGGGCTACACAGGGTATCTGCACAACCCATGCATTTCATCACAGAGCGGTAAAGAAGAGGAGCAGCCCTTCTCATCTGCCCCATGAGAGCCCTATTGCTCGACATGAGAGACTGGGGCCAATAGTTCTCAAGGAAATAGAGTCGCAAGAAATTCAGGATGGAATTTGGGGTTTGGAGAGTTATGATGATGTTCCAGAAGACGACGACTTAACTATATTTGAATAAATGTAGACTGTTATACCGTACTTAAAAAAATAACACATCTCCTGAAAATAAGCTCTAGGGTGTCTTCTTGAGGAAAAATAAGATATACCCAAAATATTGCCTTTTAACACATAATTAATATAAAAATTGAGATTTTTTTTCATAAGAAGTCTTCAAAATCCAATGTGCATTTTACACTTATAGCACATCAGTTCAATTAACCCCATTTCAAATATCCAATAACCACATGTGCCTAGTGGCTACTATACTGGACAGCACAAAAGAATGACCAACCTAAATATTACACAAATCTCCATATACAGCTGCTGGTTTTGGTACCATCTCCTTGCCTGGCTTGCCATTGATTTTGAACCTAATTCTGAACTATGTATATTAGTTTCACATTACTGGCAACTCAATAAGGCAATATCTTCATTTTTTATGTTACATTTCCACATCATTTAGTTTTTACATACATTTTCACCCTTGATCCTCATTACAATCATGTAGGTAGGCATGTTATAACAGTTTTACAAATGAGGAAACAACGTTCAGAGAAAAAAAGATACACCTATTGAGTGGGGGAACTGAGAAAAAAATTAAATCTCCTGAATCTAGTCAAATCTATTTAAGCCCCAATAAATAGCACAACCACCTTAGTCAAAGTTGCAACTCTGCATTTAACTATGAGACTGGTCTTTAATTGCCTCCATGACTGTAAACTACATGAAGAAAAGGACTGTTTTCCCTGACCAGTGTATTTCCAGTGCCCAGCAAGGTGTTTTACAAGAAGGCAATACTTACTGAATGAATTAACGAAGTTTCTGATTTTTTCAGTTTTAGTCGATTAAACGTAATTTACTTTTTTTAGGAACGAACGTGAAAAAGAGCAAAGCACACCATGAAGTTGATTTTTTTAAGTTGAAATTTAAATTTACTTTCAACATACTTTAAAGGAGTACGGGGGAAAAGGCTGGGAGCCACGGCCTGAGTGCTGACTCCGCCGTGAACTAGCTGTGATGTGAGCCTTCGCGTAAACTATTTAACTTCTCTGGACCACAGTTCTTATCTCTCTAAAGGGAAGAGTCTATCATCTCCACGATTCCGTTCAGAGCTAGGATTTTTTACATTAACTTGATGTGAGTCGGCTTCCCATTTCCTCACACCCTTCCTTAAGTCCCCTCTGCAACTACCGACTTGGTGAGGGAGGTAACCATTAGGTCCCAGCTGGGTTCCCTTCGCGTCCTGGGGGGCCGGCTGGACACCCAGCCGCGGGCCGGTGCCCACTGGCCGGAACCGCCATCTTTTCCCATTGGCCTCACCGCAACCGCCACCCGCGGGCAACCGGGGACGCGAACCTCACCTCTCTTCGCAGTCTTTGCATTTCACCTGCAATGGGACTAGTTGCTGGAACAGAACTTGGCTCATACTGGCCCGCTGCCCCGGCTGCTGCGTGGAAAAGCCCAACAGGCTCGGCCCTTGGTACAAGCCTGAAAGATTACAGGTCCGGATAGAGTTTGAGTTTGGCGCTCAGCTCCCGCGGAGGAGGCGGGGAGAGAGAGAAAAACGGGGGTGAGACGAAGGAAGTTTGGGCCTCGCCAGCCACCATCAACTTCTTCCGGTTTTGCGGAGGATGGACGAAAGCGGTTCGGTAGTTCCGGGCATTAACCTATGTGGTGGGATCTGAGGTAGCCATGTTTGTTAAGGGAAGGGGACCCGAAGGAAGCTGACAATTTTTCTTCTGGTTGCCAGACGCTGGCTACCTGAAGCGGGCCTTGAATTATGGCGGCCTCTGTGCCGATGCCTCCCGCGACTGGTTTTCCAGCTGAGGGTAGATGCAGTTATTATGTGGAAAAGAAGAAGCGGTTCTGCAGGATGGTGGTGGCTGCTGGAAAAAGGTTCTGTGGTGAACACGCTGGAGCCGCGGAGGTCTGGTATCGCCCTACCCTCTCGAGAGTCGGAAATAAGTTTCTCGGTGCGGTCGGTGCTGGACCCCGACCCCTCCCCTCTTTGACAGGTTTCTGCTTCTGTCCCCTGGATTCTCCAGCTTTTACTTTAATAAATGCAGTTTTGCCCTCCTTGCGGAGCGATGATGAGCCCTAGTGATGAACAGTGTTTTGTTTTACTAAGTAAAGCGCCGGCAGTGACCCCTTTATCTTGATCCTATTTCACGGTAATGGTAAATTTTAGTTATACTTCAAGCTACCTCTGCTCACCTTCCGCCTTCTTGATGGGAAGTGGTAGTTAAAGCAGTGATTGAAGTCCTCAGGTTTCACTACTTGTGTTCTAATTATTGTTTTCTGAATGAGAATCACTTGGGAATGTGGTTGAAAGAAACTTTCTTTAAAAATTAGACTTAACCTGTTAAGACGCAACTTAAAACTATTTGCTGGAATGGGAAAGGAAGGATTAAAAATATACAAAAATTGACCTTTTAAAATTGAGAACATAAATTTTGTTTGATAATAGTTATGCATATAATTGTACAACCAAACACTACTATCATATATTTCCTAAAGTAATTTACGTATATACAAATATGTAAAGTAAAAATAAAAGAGGAGCAGAATGCTGGTAGAAAAAGAACATGTCTAATAGCATTAGAAGAAATAAACTAAATAGACCAACATTTGGTTTCATGCCTTCTGAATATCCGAAGTATACCCACGATTGTATTGACTGGCTTTTAGGGGACGAGCAAACATCTGTTGGTTGAAGAATGAGATTTATGTTAGGAGAAGGATTTTGTTCCCACTCTGTTGCAAGGCCTTAGACTTCACCTTATTCAGACATCTGGTAGGTGAATGCAAATGATGTTAGTAGTAGAATATGAATAAATCCTTACAAGCTGATCAGTATTCCTAGAGAGGAATAGTATTAGTTCTTTGAGGAAAGACTGCAAAACACCAAGTGGAAACACTTTTCATGACTATGATTTGGTTGTGAATTATAGCCATCCTCTTGAATCTGCAATTTATGATATAATTGGACATTGTGTTTCCATCTTTTTTTTTTTTTTTTTTTGAGACAAGAGTTTCGCTTTGTTGTCCAGGCTAGAGTGAGTGCCGTGGCATCAGCCTAGCTCACAGCAACCTCAAACTCCTGGGCTCAAGCGATCCTCCTGCCTCAGCCTCCCGAGTAGCTGGGACTACAGGCATGTGCCACCATGCCCGGCTAATTTTTTATATATATATCAGTTGGCCAATTAATTTCTTTCTATTTATAGTAGAGACGGGGTCTCACTCTTGCTCAGGCTGGTTTTGAACTCCTGACCTTGAGCAATCCGCCCGGCTCGGCCTCCAAAGAGCTAGGATTACAGGCGTGAGCCACAGCGCCCGGCCTGTTTCCATCTTTTTTAAGTATCATATATAGCTGTGATGACACCACTTTTGTGCATTTTTACCAAGTGGTTCTCACCTGGGGATGATTTTGCCCCCCCCCCCCCAGTAGATACATCTGAAGACATTTTGGTTGTCAACAACTGGAGAGTATTACTGGCATCTAATGGGTAGAAACCAAAGATGCTGCTAAACCTCCTACAAAGCACAGGACAGCCCCCACACCCCCACCTCAAAAAAAGAATTATCCAGCCCCAAACATCAATAGTGACAAGGTTAAATAACCCTGTTTCTAAATCCAAATAATAAATGTGGTTTTTTTTTCCTACTCTACAGTTAGGCTTCTGGGGTTAAAATAATCTTTTCTTATGTGGAGGTTAGGTTTTAAAGTCAGCAAAACAGTATTGACGATTTCTTAGCTTTTCCATGAAATTCATTGTACATAGCTTCATGGATATGCTGAGAAGCACACCAGAATTGAAATAAATTGTAGTAACAGCTAACACTTAGCATTACTTCATGACCAGCACTATAATGGGAGGTTTTGAGTTTGTCTTTTTGTTTATTAGATCACTTAATTTTCACAAGCCTTAGGAGGTAATACATGATTTTCTCATCTTTTAAATGAGGCGATAAGCCTGCCTAAGGTCAGAGGACCAGTGGCTGATAGAGCTGGGAATCATACCGAGGCAGTCTGGCTAGACTGTGGTTTTAAGGATTACACTCTCCCGTTTCATGCAGAGTCATTTGGAATGTTGGGTAGAAGTGCCAACACTATTAATTTTCCTTTCTTTTTTCCTAGTGTATATTACAGTCATGTGCCACATAACATTTCAGTCAATGACAGACTGCATTTATGACGGTGGTCCCATAAGATAATACCATATTTTTACTTTGCCTTTTCTGTGTTTAGAGACACAAATACTTACCCTTGTGTTACAATTGCCTACAGTATTGAGTACAGTAATATGTGCTACAGGTTTGTACTGTATGAGCAGTAGGCTGTACCATACAGCCTAGATGTATGGTAAACTATACCATATAGGTTTGTATAAGTATATTCTATGGTGTTCTCCTAACAACAAAATCACCTAAAGAGGTGTTTCTCAGAACATAACCCCATCATGAAGCGATGCATGGCTGTAGTTAAATCCATGTTACTTAGTAATGAAAAGGTTAGAACTACTATACTGAAAAGTTACAAAGCCAATAAAATGTGGCACATACCAAATGGTTAAATGCCATGTTTTATTATTTCTAAGAAACTTTTGAAAATATGTGTTAACATCTCTAAAATCAGGATGCATCTTAAAACCCATAAGCCATCATTTAAATGGGCAGCATTTTCTACAAAAAATACTAAGTATTTGAGATAATGCATATTTATTTAGTTCAATTTAGCCATTCCACAACGTATATGTATTTTAAAACATGTTGTACAGGTTAAATATATACCATTTTTATTTGTCGATTAAAGTAACATAAAATAGCATTGTTTCTTTCTTGGTAGTACATAAAATAGTAGTGCATATCATAATCAATGCTATCTTAGATTCTAAATTTCATATGTAGGCCTTCTCTAAAACCTATTTGAAGCTATAGACCCTGTTTGTCCAAAGCAGTATTTGTTCATATATACATAAGCTAGCTACACTAGAGATTTTTTGTTAAACCCTTATGACCTGATTTTTACCAATGTTTTTATTATGTCCTTTTGAGGTTTCCTCATCTTGTTTTGAGAATGCAGAGACACTGAAATTATATCTAGTATCTGTAAGTATTAATAATAAATTTATAATTTTATTAAAATGTGTCCCTTTTGATTTATTAGGAAGAAGATACTCGGAAAAGAATCCTGTGTCCTTTAGATCCCAAACAGTAAGTACGGATCAGATAAAGGTTTTTCTGTGCTGGCAACAGTTATTATCACAAGTCTTATTTTAAATAATTTTCTTTTTAAATTTAGCACAGTATATGAAGATCAACTAGCAAAGCATTTGAAAAAATGTAACTCAAGAGAGAAGCCAAAACCCGTAAGTGTTTGATCAGTAAAGTTGAATGGTGAAATGTGTGGTGTGTAATGTTTTTATATATATATGTGTGTGTGTGTGTGTATATATATATATACTTAGTATATTACAAACATGAATATTTAATAAGATTCATGCCTCAAGGCTTTAATTTGGTAAATGTACTTGATGTATGTAGGATATCAGGCAGTAAATCCACTTACAGTCTTAATTCAGAGAATAGAATTTTATGCAACATGAGTTTTCTTCAGAGTATAATTTCACAGTTTAGTTATTGAAAGATATTTACTTAGTGTCTACTAAATTTACCTCAATAAAATATGATCCCGGCCTTCAAGGAGCTTATTTGAGACTGACAAATAAACTTGGAAATAAGGAATAAATGAAAGAAGAAAGAAGTAAGCACGTGATGAGAGCACATACTTGAATCAAAACTAAAATTAAATCCAAGAGTCAAGAAAGGCTTTCCAGAAGAAATAACAGTTGAGCTGATTCTTGATATGGCAAAGAAAAGGAAAAAGAGTCCTTCTAAGCAGAAAGGACAGCATGTACAAAAGTATGGAGCTGAGAAACTACATGATGCTTTCAAGAAATTTGAACTTTATTCTGAAAGATATGGGAAACTACTGATAGACTTTAAGCTCAGGACTGGTGTGGTCAAATTTACCTCTTAGAAAACTTTCTTTTATAGCAGTATAGGAAGATAGCTTGGAATCAGGAAGACTAGTTAGGAGGCTATTATTGAAATCCAGGTAGCATATGGTAAAACACTGAATTAACAAAGATGGAAAGTGTAGGGATGGATGTACAAATTATTTAGGTAGCAGAGTCAGTAAAACTTGGTGACTGATTAGATATTTGGAGCTGGATATATGAGTCTGAAACTCTTTAGAGCTGCGGTCCCCAACGTCTGGGCTGAGGCCTGGTATAGCTCTGTGCCCTATTAGGAAATGGGCTGCACACCAATATCTCCCCCATCCACGACACCTCACCCCCAGTCCATGGAAAAATTCCATGAAACTGTTCCTTGGTGCCAAAAAGGTTGGAGACTGCTGCTTTAGAGCAAGTAATCTAAATTTGGAAGTCAAATACATGAAAGTCATAGATGAAGCTTTGGATTTTTAAGTTACCCAGGGTAAGTGATTAGAAGAAAAAGAAAGGGACTGTTTATTCAATAGATACTAATTGGCCATTTATGCCAGACATTGTACCAAGTATCCTACCTAGAAGAACATTACAATATAGTGGGGGAAATGGAAAATGCAATAACATATGTGCTAAAATCGATAAAAATATAGGATGCTATGGGAGAATAAAGGAGACAGGACTGGGTGTGGTGGCTCACATCTATAATCCTAGCACTCTGGGAGGCCGAGTTGGGAGGATTGCTTGAGGTCAGGAGTTCGAGACCAGCCTAAGCAAGAGTGAGACCCCATCTCTACTAAAAATAGAAAAATTAGCTGGGCATGGTGGTGGTCACTTGTAGTCCCAGCTACTTGGGAGGCTGAGGCAGGAGGATCACTTGAGCCCAGGTGTTTTGAGGTTGCTGTGAGCTAGGCTGACTCCATGGCACTCTAGCCTGGGCAACAGACTCTGTCTCAAAAATAAATAAATAAATCAATAAATAAAGGAGAAAGGCCCAAATATTTTTTGGAGTATATAGGGAGTGAGAGAAATGGGGAAGAAGTCGGGGAGGGTTCTTTAAAGGAGGTATCATGTAAGATGAGACATAAAGGTCAAAGGAGAATCAGCCAGACAAGGAGGCAAATATGTGCCAAGGCCTAGGAGCGAGAGTAGATAGCACTGGCATTTCACCTGGTGTGAGAGTAAAGTACAGTGGGAGAGCTGAGTAAAAGACTAGATTTGAGTGGTAGCTAAGGAGTAGATCATGAGACCAAGGATGGAACTCTTGGTGACACTGACATTAAAGGGTGAGGTGCTAATAGGAACCATAGGAAAAGATTGAGAAAGGGTGGCTAAAAAGATAAAAAAGAGAAAAAGTAGAAGAACATGGTGTATCAGAAACCAGGGAAAGAAGAATTTAAAAAAGAAGAGTAATCAACAATGAATAGCACTGCAAAGAATCAAGTAAGGTAAGGACTGAAAAGAAACCATTGGATTGGCAATATGGTTGTTGTTAAAGATCAAAGACCTTAGTAAAATACATACTTAATAGGGTGAGTTGGGCAGAAAATCAGACTGGAGTGATATATGAGTAATTGGAAGATTAGGCAGTAAAAATCACAAGAATAGACATTTTTTTTTCTGAGACAGGGTTTCACTATGTTACCCAGGCTGGTCTTGAACTCCTGTGCTGAAGCAATCCTCCTGCCTCAGCCTCCAGAGTAGCTGGGACTACAGGTGTGTGCCACCACACCTGGCTAAGCCTAGCCTCTTTAAAGAAATTTGGCTATGAATAGAATTCGAGAGTTAGAATGACAGAGAGGATGGCAGGATAGAGGGAGTGTGTTTTAAAATTGGAGAAATTTTGTTTTATTTACAGTTGACCTTTGAACAACATGGGTTTGAACTATGTGGATCCACTTTTATGTGTATTTTTTCAACCAAATATGGAATGAAAATACAGTATTCATATGATGAAACCCACATTTAAAAGAGGCAACTTTTCCTTCCACAGGGCTGACTGGGGGACTTGAGTATGCACAGTTTCAGTATATGTGGGATGTTCTAGAATCGATCTCCTGCATATACTGGGGGACAATTGTACTAAGAGTAAAGAGCCAGTAGAGAGGAAGAAACTGGAAATAGAAGAGGGCATCACTAATGGTGGAAGGCTTCTCAGGTAGCAGGCAGGGATGGGGAACAGAGGGATAGATCTACTGAGATAGATGGGAAGGAGTAAAATATATCTGTTCAGGCAAAGTTGAGCTGACAGGAAAACTAAATGAGAAAGTTCTCATTTGATAGCAACACTTTTCTTGTTGAAGTAAGAGAGAAGGTGATTGAGAGGGATGATGGCACAGTAGGAGATTTGAGGAGAGAGGCAAAAGTTTAGAATTAGGATTATGGAGTATAATTGCTGGGCATCTTTGAGAGTCAGACTAGGTATGAAGATAATGAATTTGAACTGGCATCAGTCCAAATGACTTCAGCAGTGGTCAGCACTCCAGATGTTGTAGTTAAAAATCATATTAATGCAGGCATTGAGTTTTGCAAGGATGGGTGTGACAGAATAACCAGATTGTGAGAGAGAATGATTATAGTGGCTATCTAAACTGGATGGCATGAAACAGAAGCCAGAAATTAGTTGATAAAAGGTCTTTAAAAGGTGGAAGACTATGATTAGGAATAAGAGAATAAAAAAGAAGAACATGATTAGGAACAAGAGACTCAATATGCATTGTACTAGCATAGTATAAAGTTATGGTCAGAAAATGGGTTAATGGAGTTTAAGATTTTAGAAGCAAATGGTTCACAGTAATGCCAGAGTCTAGAGGGCCCATGGAAGTACTTTGCAGAAGTAGAGTGAACATTATTAGAATTAAGAAAGTCAAGCAGAGCTATTATGCTTAGGTGGCTTGAACACATTGTCATATTGGCTGGATTTGGAGTAGAAAGGACAACTTCAAGACCCTGTGAATGTTGGGTAATGACTAGCAGATTGGTAGTTGATAACCCTGAAAGATTTAGAGGATGGTTTAGGAGCTTGGTGTTTCTCAGTGGGGGCTTTTGGCATTTTGAGTGGGACAGTCCAAGCCTATGTATTCTAAAGCATCCTGTACATTTGAAAGTATCCATCCTGGTTTCTGAGAAGCAAATGTCAAGTGTATTTGTCAAGAACCATGAAGAATCTGAAATTTTCTTATTTCTAGGCTATTGAGTTAGCCTACCATAGGTTTCTGGATGCTAGCAGAAGACATGAGATTCCTGAGTCAGAGACAAAAAACAAAAGACTTCGATCACTCACCACACAGCAAGCAACATGAGCTTGTTTGCATCTGTTCCCTTTGCTACTCAAGGCTAGCTAAGTCAGCATGGAGGCACCTAGATAGATGCTGCATGTACAATGGGCTTGTGTTACAGCTGGGGATCCCCAAGCCTAGGAAATATAAATTATTATTTTTTTTTTTAACAAAAAACATCTTTATTTTAGTCTTCAAAGAAGAAATTCTTTTCTTCTTTTTCCAAGATAATCATGATTAACTTACAAAATGGGTATACATCTTCAAAGTATTTCCCTTTAACGGGAAACTGCTTTATAGGATCTAAATATTAAAAAGTAAAAAAAAAAAATCCATTTTTTTGTCATTTTAAGACAAAACAGAATCTAGCATAAGTCAAGGAAACCCATTCATACTTCAGGTCCTTCTCCTCCAGGAACCAGCATTGTTATATTATTTCCATTTAGCAAATCTGATCTAATTTAGTAATTCTTCTTCCTTCTGGTGTGATTTCAAATTCAGTGACATCTTCTAGTACCATATTGACAAAGTCATCAAATCCTAGAAGAGTACCAACGATTTCCTTATCGCTCTTCATAACAATATGAATTCTTGATCCTATACATTTGTCCACAAGCTCTAGCGGCAGCAACTGCGACGGGTTGGTAGTGCGTTAGCCGCCATGGCTAGGCCGGAAGTGGCCTACCGGAAATATAAATTATTTTTAAATTGGGCGATGAGCAAACCTTCCTGACCTTTGTTCTGTAAGTAGACATTTATTTATTATACTGTACAATAACTAAGCCTGCCCTGTTATCTAGGAAGAGACACTGGGTACTTGGTATACAAGTGTCCTTGAAAACATAGTCTGGACCAAAGATAATCAGTGCCTCTGATTCTAAGACTTGTAGAAAATCAAGAGATCCATGGGAGGCGTGTGTCCCAATAGCACTTCTCACTTATTTTGACAATAAAATATTCCCCCATATTTTTGCAAATTCTTCCCAGTTGAGAACCACTGGACCACATGGCATAGCCTCAAAAGAGAGTATTTTTACATTAAGATGCTGTAGAAGAAAAATGATAACTCCTCACCACTACCCTATTAGGACTTAGTCACTTTAGTAGAAAGAGAATGTTGGCTTTGCTTATAAGTATCTTCCTTACCTAATTGCCAGCTTTCAGTTAAAGCAAGCAAGTGGAATATGTACTCTGGGAAAAGTTTGAGAGAAGAGGTAAATTTATTAAAAATGGAATGCCTTGGGTGAGTTTTATTGCATTCCTGCACACAGTGGCAAGGAAATGGATAAAAGCAGTGGGGTGATAAGATAGAGGAAAAGAATGTAGAGAAGTATTTAATCTGGTACATTATGTAGAATAAGAATCTTAGAACCCAGGTAAAGGCATATTGTTCTGCTTTACTTTGGGAAACCAGTCATCAATTTTTAAACATGTTGTATATTACATGAAAATAAGTGGTGATAAATCTCTCTAATATAAATAGTTTTCACATTTAAAAATCTAATCCACAGTATAAGTTACCTGGAGCACTCTTTGCAACCATTTTGAACTAAGAGTCCATCAAGTTCTATAGTTATGGCTAATGTTCTATTATAATGTTGTCAGTCATCCAATAAAGCATTGTCATTCCTGCAATCTTCACCCATTCCACTCATTTACCAGTTTCCTTTGCTATCCATATAAGGAAAGCTACCAACACACAATCAGAATATTATCTTTCTGCCATCTGTGTAACAAAAATCCACTACTATGCATAACATAATGTCCCAGGAGTTGTTTTTACATTTAAAACAGGATTTGTGGAAATAGCACTATTTTCGTTCATCTAGATCTAAACTATTCAGTATGGCAGCCAATAGCCACATATTTAAATCTGAATTAATTAATTAAAACTAAATAAAAAATCCATTTCCTCAGTCACACTAGCCATATTTCAAGGCCAGTGGCTGCCATGTTGGCCACAGCAGATATAGAACATCTCCATCATTGCGGAAAGTTCTATTGGACAATGCTGATATAGATCCTTACCTAGAATGTATACCTCTGTAGAAGGACTAGAAACATCTCATTATATTAATTTAAATAAGTGTCACAGGACATTTATTTTTTTGATTTTTAATTAATATTTTAAAGTAGAAGAAATCAGAATTAATACCATTGTGATATCTATATTTTATCTATTTTTGGTCATGTTGCATGTCTGGTAAACAGCTTTATGTTTTTGGTACTTTGTTGTTTTTGCTGCAACTCCATAAAGGAAACTTGGCACAGGCCTCAGTCTATTCTGTAGATAGGTAAAACTTTAATAAAAACTACAAATCTCTTTAGACTATAAATACTTATTCAAATAACCACCTCACTAGAATATAAGGTCAATGGATGTAGAGATTTTTGTCTCTTATATTATCTACTGTGCCTAGCACTTAAACCAAACTTGGGACTATAGTAGGTACTCAATAATGACTAAATGAATAAATGGAGGAAGGAAGAATGGCAGGTACATAGTATGGAATGAAGGGAATAGTATAGTACATAGTATGGAATGAATGGAATTTTCAGCTTAATTTTTGTGATCTTCACATTATTAACAATATTGTGGTTTTGTTTTTATTAAGGATTTCTTTATTCAAGATATTAATGCAGGCTTAAAAGATGAAACAGAAATACCTGAACAATTAGTAAGTACATTGACTTAATATTTAATTTTAAAAGGTATTTATAAGCTATCTCTATGTTGTAAATAAGTCATGTTGCAATTTTTATTTCAAATAAAACTGTTGTTTTGAATTTACAATGCATTTGTTGTATGATCAATATTATTGGTAATTGCTGGTTCTCAGACCAGCTCATGCCCCATAACAAGACAAGCTGCAATATGGCCCTGAGTCCTCTTTGATTCTTGAATTCTTCTGAGCCTAAACTTGTTCTTGACCCTGAGGAGGTTAGCTGAATTAAAGTAGCATGGCAGAGATAGAGCAGAGGCTTAGCAGTTAGACCAGGGAAAAGGCCTTATCAGAAAGAAGAGCCTAAGCTGCATGGGAATTGCCCAACTGTTAAGTCTCTATCCTGCTACTTTATGGCACTTTTTGGCTACATTATTTAGTTTTATTTTTGTATATAGGTTCCAATTTCTTCTCTATCTGAAGAGCAGTTGGAAAAGTTAATTAAGAAATTGAGAAAAGCAAGTGAAGGTAAGTCTGCCTAAAATTGCAAGTTAAATTATTTTAGAGTAATAGATGGTATATGACTTGCTACCATTCTGGTTTAAAATATGTTACTACCATTATTCAGAATCCTACAATTTCATTTGGTTTCTTAAGCTATTGTGTTTATGTTTGACACAGGTTTGAATTCTACACTTAAAGATCATATTATGTCCCATCCAGCTTTACAAGATGCCCTTAATGACCCTAAAAATGGTGATTCTGCAACCAAGCACCTGAAACAGCAGGTATGTTTAGGTTACAGTAACCCTACTAAAAATGGCCTTTGTTCATTTGTTAAAAGCTTTCTAAATATAGTTGTTATTGAGATTTTATTCCACTTACCTTTCAGTGTACAAAATATTTCCATTTAAAAAAATATGTATACACATATATAAAAAATTGGGGCTATAGATATGGTTTTGAGTAGCAAGTATTAAATATTTAAAAGCAAGAGAAAAAGAATTTAAAACCAAATAGAAATTATCACTGTGATAAACATACTGTTGTATGTAGAAATTACCTTGCTATTTTCCCATTTGAGCCAAATGTGTTTGCTCTATTTTATAAAATAATCTTGTGAAGTTTGCAGGCTTCTATTTTAGGTAACATTGAAAAATTAAAGTTACTTGGTCCAAGAAGATGCTTTGTTGAGTTTGGAGCAGGAAAGGGAAAATTATCTCATTGGGTTGATATTGCCTTAAAAGATGCTGAAAAAGTTCACTTCATCTTAGTAGAAAAGGTGACCACAAGATTCAAGGTAAGTGAAATCATTGCAGTACATTAGTAACCAAACTTTGTTTGCATTTTTCTTATTTGAAAAAAATGACAGAAACATATCTTAAAGAAAATAAAAAATGAATTTTCTTTTTTATCTATTCAATTTTAGCTTTTTATCAGTTTTAATTATATCAATGAATTGTCTTAAACTGAAGGTGATTTTGGTTTTTTTATTTCAAAATATTAAGGGGATACCAGTGTTTTTGTTACCTAGATACCTTGTATAAATGCTTAAGTCAGGGCTTTTGATGTGTCCGTCATCAGAATAGTGTTCGTTGTACCCAATAGTTAAGTTTTTATCCTACCCTCCCTCCTCCTCCTTGGTTTCCAATGTCCTTTATATCTTTTCGTGCCTGTATGTACCCATCATTTAGCTCTTACTTATCAGTGAGAACATACAGTATTTGGTTTTCCATTTCTGAGATACTTCACTTATGATAATAGACTCCACTTCCATCCAAGTTGCTGCAAATTACATTATTTCATTCCCTTTTGTGCCTGAGTAGTACTCCATGGTGTATATACATATACCACATTTTCTTTATCCACTTGTGAATTTATGGGCACTTAGGCTGGTTCCACATCTTTGCAATTTTGAATTGTGCTGTGAAAAACATTCGAGTGCAGTTGTCTTTTTGATAAAATGACTTCATTTCCTTTCAGTAAATATGCAGTAATGTGATTGCTGAATCAAATAGTAGGACTACATTTATTTCTTTGAGGAATCTCCTTATTGTTTTCCATAGAGGTTGTACTAATTTGCAGTCCTACCAACAGTGTATTCCTGTCTCTCTGCATCCACAGCAACATCTATTGTTTTTTGACTTTTTAATGATGGCCATTCTGATAGGGAGAGGATGGTACTGTACCTCTTTGTAGTTTTAATTTGCATTTCCCTGATGATTAGTGGTGTTGAGCATTTTTTCATATGTTTGTAGACCATTTTTCTATCTTTGAAAACTTCTTTTTATGTCTTTTGCCCACTTTTTAATGGGGTTGTTTGTTTTTTTCCTGATGATTAGTTTGAGTTGTTTGTAGATTCTGGATATCAGTCCCTTGTTGGATGTATACTTTGTGAATATTTTCGCCCATACTATAGGTTATCTATTCACTCTGTTGATTCTTTCCTTTGCTGTACAAAAGCTTTTTAATTGAATCAAGGCCCATTTATTTTTGTTGTTGCTATAATTGGCTTTGGGGTCTTAGTCATAAATTCTTTGCTTAGGCCAATGTCTGGAAGAGTTTTTCCTACTTTTTCTTCTGGAATTGTTATGGTTTCATGCCTTACATTTAAGTCTTATCCATCTTGAATTACTTTTTGTATATGGTGAGAGTTAGGGGTCCTGTTTCATTCTTCTACGTGTGCTGATCCAATTTTCCCAGCACCATTTATTGAATAGGACTTTCTTTCCCTAATGTATGTTGTTTTCTGCTTTGTTAAAGATCAGTTGATCATAGTTCTATGGTTTTATTTCTGGATTTTCTGTTCTGTTGCATTGTTCTATGTCTCTACTTTTATACAAGTACCATACTATATTCCTTACTATAGCCTTGTAGTAAAATTTGAAATCAGGTCATGTGATGCCTACAGATTTATTCTTTTTGCTTAGGATTGCTTTGATTATTCAGTCTTTTCTGGTTCCAAATGAAGCTTAGGATTATTTTGTCTAGGTCTGTGAAATAAGACATTTGTATTTTGATGAGGATTGCATTGAGTCTGTAAATCACTTTGGGCAATATGGACATTTTAATGATGTTGATTCTGCCCATCCATGAGCAAAGAATGTTTTTGCATTTGT